ATTTATCTATCTTCAGTACTTCCGTTGGATTTTACATTTCATATCTGTTTCTGTGGCATTTTAGTCTTTTAATGGTTTGCAATGTCCCAAGAGAACATTAGCTGTTTAGCAGATCAGTGCTGTAATGTGTAAATAAGTGTAACACCAAACCCCCAGACACACAAATGATAAAGTGGCAACTGAAATTTCAATAAAATCAAGTATTGGAATATTCCGTTTATTAAAAATGTATTAAAGAGCCAGCAGTACAGGTAATAAAGCAACAGATTAAAGGCAAAATGCTTGCCACCCAGGGCAGGTCTTAACTATGTGCAGTGAAGAGGCCATGTGGGTTTACCTGGGAAGGGCATTCCAGAGAAGTAGCTACCTGTCAGGCCATTGTAGGTGGTGGCATCCAGAGAAGATTATCTTCACAGTCGGGCAGGAATGTATCCCTATAATTTTGCTTTGGATTGCTGTACCAGTTTGATTGTCACAACCAACAGGGAAGATGGCAAGGTGCGAGGAGGGCATGTGAGTCAGGATGTTGTAGTGGTTAGACCTTTAGTCTGGGACTTTGGAGATGCTGTTGGTGGTCTCTTTGGTGGAAGAGGTGGGATTTAAAATAGAGCTAAAAATACTGCTTTCTTTGGGCAGTACTGCCTCAAGAGATTAGTTCCTTCTGCCAGTGTTCCAGCACTTTTCTTTCATGGCAGACCCTTAACTCTATTGTTGTTTAAATTATTATATGTTTGCTCTGCCTCTCTGGAGTCTTTTTGCCATGTTTTGAGTTCTTATTATGTCTTTTTATATTATCTTCATTTTCACTGGGATTTTGTTGTGGCCTTGTTGAATTTCTAAATAATAATTATTTGGTTTTTATTCTCCAAGGAGCTGCTTTGCAAAGGCTTGGGCCTTGAAGAACAGTAAAATAAGGGAATATAAGGATTTAACACAAAGAAGTATTCATGTTCTAATATTAGAGTAACTACAAATAAGGGGTTGTAAAAGGAGGATCAAGAACAGGCATACACTCTTAACTAAGTTTGAAAACTTATAAATCAATTGCGATTTTGGAAAGGGATTGGTGTGAAAAGCCTAGAGGACTCAGGAAGCAGTAACTCATAGATAAACTGAATAGAGCCATTTTCATGAGATAAAGCTGAAATGAATGCCCATGTTTGTCTGATAGGTAGCTGGGTTCACACAACTCATTAATCCATACTAGGGGGTTGCATATCAGTTGGTAAAGGGTTGGCATTGACATGTGGGTTGTCCTGTTGTCTGGACCCAATTGTGATAACAAACCATGGTTTGTTAACTACAAACAACCCACAGATCACAACCTAACAACAAACTATGGGTTCATTTCATGGGTTGTTTGTAGGTAATAGGATTTATAATATTTTTAAATTAATGTCTAATTGCCCTGTCCTACAATGGCTTGAAACCTTATTCAAGCATTGTGCTCCCTCCGGAAAGTGGTGAAACCCACGTCACACAACCCCCGCCCCCTCCACTGACACGGGATGGGGAACCTTTCCTCACTCAAGGGGCTGCACTCATTTTCTGTGCAGCCCTCCAAGGACTACATGTCAGAGATGGTGGGCAAATCAAGAGGTGGGCAAGCTCGGGCAAAGGGAGGTGATGCTTCTTTGGCCCCACTGAGCCCCCCTTACACTTTCAATCCCCCCCCCCGTTTGTTTGTCTCTGCATTCCCCCTCTACCTCTTGCTCTCTTTCCCCACCCCATCCCTTTCTGTGCGTACAGGTAGGGACTGCCTCTGTACCCAGGGCACAAGGAGGAATCCGGCGAGGCAGGAACAAACAGGCTTGTTCCGGTGCCGCCTGATCGCTCCAGGAAAGCTCTGCATGGGCAGGTGGGGCCAGGGAAGGCGAGGGGCTGGGCTGCATCGATAGCAACAGCAGCCCTCCGTGTAGGACCACCATGGCCTGCCTGCCCCCGCCAAACTATACCTGCCACCGGAACTGCCCACCTTCTTCCTGGCTGCCGCAGCCTGCACGGCCACCACCCGGCCTGCTGCGACCGCAGCCCCCAGCCCCCTGTGCGGGAGGTGCCCGCTCCTTCAGCTGCCTGCCACCGAAGCCCCCGTGCCGCCACCTGCTGCCTGCCTCTCACCTGCCCCATGAAGTCTCCCACCTGCCTGCCCGACTGCCAGCCGTGGCAGCAGATTTGCCTCTTTGCCCGGCGGGTCGTGCAGGCCGGGTGCCAAAGGGTGTTGTGCAGGCCAGGTGCAGGCCCTTCCCGCAGCTTCAGCATTTTAAAAGCTTCCTTTCTGAGCAACGGTGATCTCTGTCTACCAGGTGCTGCTTTGGGCGTGCGGGCGCTTGACCAGTGAGTGCACAGGAACAGTGCAAAGACTGTCCTTTGCTCGCATTGCTGTGCTCTTCTCCCACCAAAGGGACAGCAAGCAAGCAAGCAAGCAAGCAAGCAAGCAAGCAAGCAAGCAAGCATCTGATTTGTTCTGATTACTGCTACTCAAACTGTAAGCTTCAAGAAAGAGCCTCTTTTAGAAAGGGAGCCCTGTGGGGCCAGCAGGCAAGATCCCGGAGCTTCCTGGGAAGGCAAATCGGGCAAGGGGGTTGGTGGCAGCTTCAGCTGGTGGCTTGGGCAGGGATGGACCCTCAGCAGCTGCCTGGTTGTACCAGCTTCTGATGCCGGGCCTGCCCAGGAGGCTGGAGGGTTTTTTCCTACTGCTTTTAAGTTAAGGCTCTCGGTGAAAATTTTAGGCATATCTTTCACATCCTGTTAACCCTCTTCACACTATAACCAGCCTGTCCAGTTTTGCCCTTCCTTTTCTTAAAATTAGCATTTATTCTTTATGTAGAGTCTTTGGGCACCTTCGAGGATTAACAGATAAATTGCAGCATCAGCTTTCTTGGACTAGAGCCCACTAGATCAGATGCATCCAGTGCTGTCTTCAGTTGGTAAATCTGTAAATAAAAATAGGTACGGGGGGGTGGAAGTCAACAACAGGCCCCAAAGGTAGTGAAACGCAAGCATTAGAACATCAGTGCAGCTTCCAGGCAGACAGTTTGGCAGTAGCAGCCTGTGTGGTTTTGCTACCTATATGGTTTTGCTGTGTCGTTACACAATCCATGTTGGGAGGTTCAGATGGAGTCCTAAGTTGATCTAATCAGTGTTTCCATTATATTCCACGCCAACTTTCCCCAGCTTCTTTATTATTTCATTTCTGTATGCTCTGGGTGGTATACACCGTCCATAAAAACAGATGATAACAATACAATGAAAGCATCGTAAAAACAGAACAAATATCTACAAGTTTAGCATAGCTGACACAATAAAAACAGACTATAACAAGGCATAACAACAACAAAAAGAAGTGACTTTGTGAAGCACCTGTTTATCCCCTCAAGCTCCTGGATGGTCAAGGAAGTCTTCAGAAGCCTCCGAAAGGCTCTTCGGATGTGGACTTCAACTCCCAACAGTCAACTCGCCCCCGCAAAAAAAAAATTAGGGAAGGCTATTCTGGTCTGTTGCAGTGTGGAGTGGTCTTGTCCAGGGTTCCAGCCAGCCATGCCTGTTTCCAGGAGTTTCCTTTCCATTCCCCCTGGTTGCCAGGTTTTTCCCATCAGAGGCATATTCCTTGCCTATTGAATTTGCTTAATCCCCCTTGGGCTAGTTAGTTAGTTTATTTATTCTAAACATTTCAATACAATACCAAATTAGCCTAACAGCTCTCTGGATGGTATACAGTTTTAAAAAACAGCAGCAAACATAATAGCAATCAATAGCACCTTATAATGATGGTCCATAAAATAATCAGCAATAGCTATAGGAGAAAAAGATGATAAAGCTAAATAAGTAAACTCAATCAGTCAATCAATAAAATAAATAACAAACACAAATAAAAGAATCATTAGTGAATAAAAACAAATAATATGCAGTGCCTTCATAAAATAATATAATACTAATCAACAATTAAAATAGATGGAGAATAAAAAGGTTTTAGCCTGATGCCTAAACACAAAAAAGGGGGGGTGTGCGAGGCACACCCCTCTGGGGAGCTAATTCCATGGGTTGAATTTTGGGGGTGCATTTAAACTCTTTTACTCTGGTCCCCAAAGATTTCTTATACTTCATCAAGTCTCTGGGTTCCCCAGAGACCTGTGCTCTCTTCTGCTTGTGGGTGGGTTTGGCCACTTAAAGACATTCGCTCAGAATAAATTCACTACTGATATTTGGGATATACGGACTAAAAGCTGTGGCTTTAGAGAAGCTCCTGGGAGCTACATTCCAGCCGGGGCTGGGGCCAAAGGCTAAAGGAGTGGGGCCAAAACCAGCAGCATATTTGGCTTCAAAGCATGCAAGTGGGAAGTACAGTTTGACCTTTTAGAACAGGGAAGAAAACAGCACAAAAATGGGAAGACTCGCCAAGTGATCCATGGTCAGGGAGATGCTGTGGCTTCTTAGGGAACCTCGGAGGGTCACACTCGGCCCTGGGGGCTGAGGTTCTGCACCCCAGGAGCAAAGCGAAAGAGCCTCTTGCCTTACTTGCAAAATACTCTTATCAGGGCAGGTACTGATGAATCATCAAGAGAGAGAAAAAGAGAGAGAGAGCCCATCACCAGAAAAGAGGGCAAAAGCGTAGCTGCTTTGCATAAAATTTACATGTGTTGCTTTATATATCAGCATGGAAGACTGGCCAGGTGACTTGTATGCCTTCCTCAAACTGCTGTAATTCCAAGGTCAAGTTCTTCTTTCCACCAGTTCTTTATGTTTAAACCACATTTAGCAGCCCTTCAGATAGAGGATGCCTTAAATAGCAGGCAGTCCTCTGGCCACCCCTCAGTCAGAGGATTGCCCTCTGTAAAAGAGGACACGTGGCCTCCCAAAACTTCATTCGTGTTAGGGCAGGAGAAGGGGAGCAGGGGACCAAGCCCAAATGCCTCCCCTTTGCTTGTAACCAGAGAGGAACTTCCCTCAATTCCCAAGGTTTTTGGAACCAATGTTCTGCTTCCCCTGCCACCCCACCCCAGGTACACTTCAGGGGACGTGAAGCTGTGGGACACCCGCACCTGGGACTACACGGCCCCCATCCTGGAAGCGGAGCACGGCTTGGCAGAGTCCGTCCCTCGGCCGCACGCCTGCTTTGTGCGGATCAGCAGCTCGCTGGCGGTGGCGGCTTATGAGGACGGTAAGTTAACAGCAACTCTTTCCTAATATTGTGTGTGTTTTTTAAAGCCTTTTGAAAATGAAGCAGCTGTGCCCAGCGTGTGAGAGTGTGTGTGGGGTGGGGGGGGGGAGAATCTAATCCTCTCGGTACTTACACACACACACGCGCCTGTGAGCTCACACTTGCTTTTATGTGGAGAAGTTGGCTGATCACCCTGGGTGCATTAGGAGGCCTGGATTGCGTTGCCCATTAAAACGGCTGTTTTAATTCCTCCTGGAGCTGCTGCTTGGCACAGCGGTGCCAGCTCGTGGCCCAGCCAAACTCGTCTTGAGCAAGCAACTTGTTTCGGCCTGGCGTTTTTCCCCCTCCTTGAGATGCATGGGAGGCAGCCTTGCAAGACAAAGGATAAACCGGATCCCGTTTCTTGCACGCAGAACCCACTCCTTCTGTCTCCTCTTCCCCTTCCCAGCCACTGCATGCTGTTTCCCTACACATGGAGAATACAGAGCAAAGTTGGGTTTGCCAGCGCCTCTGCAAATAGCAAGGGAACAGGCTGGTCTACGACAAGGAGGCATGTGCCTTTGGTCAAGAACCGGAGCAGAATCCTGCATTCCCCAGAAAACACAGGGGCTTGGTCAGTCCCACAGAAATGGAAATGGGTGTTTGGTGGAACCAGAGTAGACCCTGGAGAGCAGCCTTTGCCTGCATGGTGTCAAAAGGAGCAAGCATGGATGTTTTCAGATGTGGTACAGCTGCACCAGTTTGCCTGTGTTCAATAAGACCTGCCAAAACTTGTTGCATCGGTCTAGTATTTAACCTGCAAACATGACAGCTGTTTTGCTTCCCCAGCAGCCTTTGGATGAGTTGCTGTAATTCCTATTTGAAAGATAGGGAGCAGAAGCCTTTCCAGTGATGCCCGTCCCTCTGCAGGCAGTGGGGCATTTTGATTTTGCAGCCCTCCCTTCCTAGGGCCGTCATGGCGGGTGATACCTCATAGGAGGTACAAGTGCTCGAGGCTTCCATGCTGATATTTGGGCTATTCCCCAACTGAAGAAAGTCTTGTAGCAATTTAAAAAAGGAGAAGAGGAGACAGGTGCTGCTGGTGGTTATGAAACCACCATCTATTGGGCTCCTGTTCAGTGCGTGACGAAAGCAGCCAAGAAATTGCCGGCACTGATGTTCTAGTCCTTTTAAGATGATAGCATGTATCCTTAAAATGTGGTCCTGCGACATACCCATCTGTAGGCCTCAACCCTAATTTTCAGTGTACAGTGGTGAAGTTTAGTACATGCCTCATGTACATACACAGACACAAATGCACACATTTGCGTTAAAAAAAGCCTGTGGCAAGGATGGGAAACCACTGGTCCTCAGCCTGGTCAAGGCCCATGGGTGGCGTCCCCATTGCTCTCGCACCTTCTTCGACTGACCCCTATCTCTTCTGCTGTGGAGCAGCAGCCATTATGTCCCACCAGGCAGCTGAATGGTGACGAGTGCCTTCCTCTCCGAGCCATGAAATAGGCTCATTTTTCCAGTAGAGGAAAAAGCGAATTGGAGACAAGACCTTTCCCCTGTAGGGCACATGGGATGGGACCAAGGGAGAGAGTTCTGAGTGATTCAGGTCCAGACCTGCTTCCTTGCGGGTGAACTTGCAGAGGAGTGTCCAGCTGCTTTGAGAGTCCACATGCTTCTTACCCTTTCTTCGGAGTAGGCAGACTACACGTTGGTGACAATGAAATGGGGGAGAGGGATTTTTCAAAAGGATCCCAATGCACCTTGGCCCCTAGAATGCAGCACCTGAGGACTTCTCTGAAAAGGAATTTGGCACCCGTCTTCGAAATGGTTTGCCATCCCTGGCCCAAGGAATAGGAGAATAACCCCGTTGTGCCAAGTATTGCTTCCTTCTGCACCTACCAAGTTCCCAGCAACCCCCACAGGCAGTGCTCAGCCGTTTTTGTGGGTGCTTTTCTTTATGGTGTATCCCATCCTTTTCAGTGGAAGAAGGCTCAAAGCACGCATGTCCCTGGCTCTGCTTCCTCCATTTAAAGAAGTGGGCAGTCCCCCTCTGGTCTGAGCATCCCAGCGTGCGGGCAGGTTTCTCAGTTCGAATGCTCGGATCCAAGGGCGGTAAAATATGCAAAAGCCTCTCTTCCCTTATTAAAAGAAAATATCCAAGAAGAACTTTCAAGTGTGTCTATCTACAGTGCGACAGAAAAGGCTAAAAAAAAACCTTGCCGACTGTTTTCTAAGCTATTGCAAGGCCTTTCGTTAGTGTGCTTTCTTGGCTCCCCTTCCTCTTCTGGGTTTGATGCTTTTGGGGGTGCGTGTGACCAACACGGAGAAGCCATCTGGTTGCGTTAGCACCGTCGGCCGCCTCTGTTGAATCCATCCTGAGCAAATTCGTTGACACAACACCGTTCTCTCCCTGTTCAGCAGAGCTCAAGCCGGGATGCCCTTGGCAACCAATCTGCACCGACAAACCAGTAGGCGGCTTCCACGCCTTCAGCGGCTGCCTTGTCATCCTCGCAGGCTGAGCCTGCTTAGCAGAGGGTCCTGCGGATCGCTCCGTCCCTCATCCCCTTCCCGCTCTGTGGCACTGGAGATAAACAGCCAACACGTACAGAGCCGTAATGGCACCGAGCATGTCATTTCGGGGAAAGCGGGGGCCCTGTGGAAGGCCCGCCCTCTCCTCTGCCCCCCACCACTCTTTTTGTGACCAGGCACTGAAGGCTTTTTGGAAGGCAATAGCTGCAGCAGCAGCAGTGATGCTCCAGCTGTGGGTGGAGCACTTCACCACTGTGCCTCATAAGCAGGAGGCAAGTCCCTGCCTGGAGGAGCTTACAATCTACATTTCAGGGGCAGATGGCACCGTGGGATGGTGGTGGTGGGGATTTTTTTTGTCCTCTCCTCCAAATAGATTGGGAGGGCCTCTTTTGCCTGCAGAAGTTCTCAGGTTAATTCTCTATCCTCTCCTGGAAAGGCTGAAAAAGGGAAGGGCTGCTGCTTGTCCGTGTTGGCAGTACTGGTTTAGATGGATCCCAGGGTCTGGCAGTGTAAGACAACTGCTAAGTAGACGATAGATAATCAGGACAGCTTATGCAGCTGATAAACAGAGATATATAAATGAAGTTTTTTTAAAAAAATCAGAGAAATGCAGCTGATTCCACCAAGGAATGAGCCTTAATTAAAATAACGGAGAAGAAAGACGGATTTGCTCTTTTTAGGGGGTACGAGTCCCAGTTCAGTCCCTAGTAATTTCAGGAACTACTAATATCTGTAAAGCTGGAGAGCTGCTTCCAAAGTGCAGGGTCAGTAGTGAGCTAGAGAGCAAATAAGGTAATTGTCCTGTCAGGTGAGCTGGCGGTGGATGGAAAGAGAACGGGGTCCATGTCAGTCGAATCTTCCTGAGTGTTCCATAGTAAGGATGCCACCAAGAAGGTCCCCTCTCCTGTCCCCCTCCCCCCAACCATCTCGCCTCTCAAAGCAGGGTGTGCCCAGGGAATGGCTAATGTGGTAGCTTCACGGTAGCACGCACGCTTCGTGTGCAGAACATTCTGGGTCCTGCCAGGTGAGAGTGCTACCTGTTGAAGTAGACAGTATTCCATCCCCAACTGAAACAGCCATGGGGTTTTTCAGAAGAGCCGAGTGTCCACGTGTTGAGAGGAAGTGTTTGCGTTTCCTGTAACTCGGCAGCTTAGATGTTCCAGCCGTCTTGCAGACTTGGGAGCAACAGATACTCTCAAAACCTTGCCCTGGGGAGGTCTTCCTCCACCCCACCTTCATTCACGCTTGCTAAGGGAATTGAGCAGGGGCTGTACTGTTTGGACCCAAGCCTCCTTCAGGACTTCCTGGCACCCGTCAGCTGCACGCAGAGAGGTGAGGATGCTGCGGGACCACGCCGGCTCCTCCCTGCCCACCTTCTCACGACACAGGAGGATCTGAGACTTGGCCATCAAATCCACAGTTGTGATGGCCTGAATTCCAGCTGACTGGCCTCTTACTTCTTCTGCCTCGTTTCCCATTGTCAGCACTGGCAGCCTTCCAGTTCGATTTTTTTGTTTGGTTTTGCTTTTGCCACTAATTGCCTTCCACGTTGCCTTACCCGGAATGAATCCAATCAAAATGCTTTTCCTGGAGCATTAGAGAAAGCCAGGGAAGGGCTTGTGGGTAATGAGCAGATGCTGCTAATGCAGTGGCCGTGGGGGCCGTGCCAGGCCCCATCTGCTCCATGCGCGCCTGGCTCTGGCGCAGAGCCACCGTCTTGTGGGGATATGTGTGTGGGGGGCTGCTTGCTCTGACCTGCCGCCCTCTCCTCCTCTGACTTACCCTGCGGAAAGTGTGGGGGGATGAGGGGAAGTGCCCCTCTCTTTGCATGCTCTTGCAAGGGGCACCGGCACAGGCATTTCGTCTGTACTGGCAGGCACCTGCTGACTGACCAGAGCTGTGGCACATGCTTGGCACACAGAACGTCCCAAGTTCCTTCCTCCACATCTCCTGGAGGGCTGGAAAATTCCTGCATGGAGTCTTAGAGAGCTTCTGCAGGTCAGAGTCAGCAACACTGAGCTGGATGGGCCAGCTATCTAGCTCTGTAAAAGGGACACTCCCGTGTTCCGGTTTCAGACAGCTTCCTGAATGGTGTAATTCCTGCTTGCAAAGTAAAAGGCACAACACAAAAGGAAAAAACACTGGGACAGAGGAGGAAAGAAGCAAATGGGGGCATTACTTCTTAGTCACAGAGACCAACAGGTCATGGCACCGGATCCAAGGACAGTGGAAGGGCTGCTGCTTCCTCTTCTTTTGAAGTCCTTAGCAATGGCCGTTGGCCACTGGATGAAAGGGGGTTAAAGGATAATCACATCCAACAGTTTTTTTTTTAACTTTATGTATTTCCTCCTTTTGTAAAACTGACCTGTAGAAATGGTTTTCAATTCAAAAATCTCGCAACAATGATGGCAACAATAAACAGCTAATACAGAAGCACTCATATGAAAAGCACACAGCAGAAATAAAGCTGCAGAAAACAACATGCAAATGCCTTCCAGATTAGAAACGTTTTCATACATTCCACATTCTTGTTGCCAGGACTCAGAAGGTCCCATCTTGGTACCCACCTGTTTGGTTTTATTTTAACCACTGATGGGCCAGGGAACCCTCCTGATATCAGTCTTAAGGCCTGAGCAAGTTGATATGGGTGAAGACAGTCCAGAAATTCCCTTATGTTACCTGTCTTACCATCAGGTACTGCGGTGGACAATTGAGGTGTAGGACATTGATTTGAACCCATGTGCCTTTTTGCAGTGCTGCAGATAGCATGTGTGGAACATAAATGTTTGCAGCTCATGCATACCCAGCATTGTATGTGGGTAGAATCGTGTACTGATTCCATCCACTTTATCATCTGAATCGACTGGGTTCAGGTCAAGTTCTGATCATGGGAGGACCCTGAGACTCCGGTTAGCTATGTCCGGCTGCAGTGGGCTGATCAGTTATTCAGTCTTGCCATAAAGTAATAGTTCAGTTTAGCCTTTCCTCCTTTTTTCTTCAATCTGAGGTGTAGGCTTTGTTTAGTAACTTGCATTTTTAAAAGCATGTCTGCACCCGAAAATGCACAAGCCTGAATGTGACAAACACAATTGTCATGCAAGTAGATCTGCCAGAGTTGCAGGAATGTGTGCCTGTGTCTGTTTTTGCTGCCATGTGATGTTTCCCGTGGTCTGTAGTCTCTCTCCCTCACATCTTCTTTGTGATTATCAGAGTAGTTTTCCTGATGAGAATGTGTTGATCCAGGCTACAGTCCTATAGCCAGCTTTCTGGGAATAAACCCTACTGTACTTTGTTTTGAGTGGACATATGTAGGATTGTGATTTTGGGGGCAATCCTTATTTTCTGCTTAAAATAAAAGCTCAGCAGTTTTGGTAAGGTATTTCCAACTGATAGGCACCCAGAGCCATCAAATTATTATCTCAACCTATCTAAAAACCTTCCCACACCTGATTTAAGGGTAGAACCCTCTCAAAGTGGTGTCCAAAATCAAATTTTGCAAATCATGTTTACTGTTCAATATCAGGTTTTTATCCAATCCTTCCTCCTGGGAGCTGTGGGTCACTTAACAACCCTGCGACCTAGGTTGAACAAAGGGAATGAGAGAGAACTTGGCTTGTCCTCTAAGTTTAAAAGGTTAAACAGAAGCACTAGTGCAAATTTCAGGGTGTCCTAAGAATTAAAACCAAACCCAGAGTTTATATTTTGGCTGTAGCATAAAATAGGACCCTTTTGGGGGAAGGCTTGAATGGTTGACTTCCGCTGTGACGTGAGACCTGCATCTGGTGCTCTTTATGAAAGTGTTAACTTGTTTTCATACTGCATTATTGTGGGCTGCTGGTTTTCTATGCATTTTGTTTTGTCTCCCCCTCTCTGCCCATGAAACCAGTTTAGCTGTTGTTTACCTTTCAAACAATCAGTGTAATTACCATTATGTTTCGATGTACATTTGGAAAAATCGTATTCTGAGCGCCTTACGACTCCACGGGGGCAGTTTGCAGTTGGGACTTTTGCACTATGATGGAAGCCTAATTGGAGTTTTGGCTGTGCGCACACAAAACGAGGTGGCTAATTGTTTAGGAAAATAGATTAATTTAAATATGCATCCCTAATAAAAAAAGTCAACATCCCCCAAATTGGCTTTTGTGATGGTTTCTTTTCCCTTGATGAGGAACATAAATATTCAGAGGGAGTACCATTAGATAGCTCTTGAGATTGCCAGTGCTTTTTCATGGTGCGGGAGTGCTTCCCGGGCACCGAAATAATCTTTCCAGGAGTGCACATAAATTTGTTTGGATGCCGTTTCATTACCATACTTCAACTTTGCTTCCTCTGGGATGTGAGAGCAGCATTTGCAACCTGGCATGGCTGCCCACCCACAGCAGCTTGCTGAGGCTTTCAGTAAATTTCTGGGAATGAACAACTCCCTGCTTGTTACTTCAGGCTAGGGAAACAGTGTCTCTGGCCATAATCTTGCCTGAATATTTGAAAGGCTGTGAAAAGGCACTGAAACCTGGTTTGTGCATGGTGCTGACTCATGGTTTGTCGCCCTACCCATGGTTTGTCTGGCTGATAATGTAGCAAACCAGTTTGTTTTCCCATTCCCAGGGTTATTTGTTTCCTAACTTGTAAGTATTCTCTCCTCCTGTATCCCAAATGCCTTTGCAGCACTGTAGTAGTTGTGTGTAGAGAGGTTGGATTGCTTTTACTGCTCTTGCAGGCCATCTCTGTAACATGAACAACCCACCATTCTGGGTTCATACGTAACAACCACTCATGGTTTAAACAACCCAGAATTCATAACCCAACAGCAAACCCTGGGTTCTCTTTCTGCTTGGTCATGGTTGCAAACCATGGTTATTTAGCATGGCTGGGTTAGACATCATGGAAACTCAGAATTCAGTAATCCATACCATGGGTTAACAGTATGAGCCAGCCCAGTCTGTGGTTGGGAATTGCATCCTACAATTGGGTCTGTGGCAAGATTGTGCCTTTTAGGAAGCTGAGGATCAGGACCATGGAGAGCTCCCTGCTTCATGGATTAAGTAGACTGGACTTGAAGTACTTGCAACTTGTGGGAAACGTTGCTTCGGTTACTTTAAGACCAGAATTTACAGAGGTCTTTCCTCCCAGACCCAAATGTGAGTGCAGTCTGGGGCTCATACACAGGAGGGTAATGATCTAGAAGAATAACAAGGGTGGGGGGAGCATAAAAAATGCACACAAACATGCTGTAATCAATGAGAGAAGATTGTGTAGTTTTCAGTGTACAGCCATCCATGTATGTACCCGAATACACACTTAAATAATCAATAGTTTTCATATAATAATGGGAAAGGAGCAGGGAGTTTACACTCTGATTCAGATCGGGGTGGCACTGAATTTCAGGTTGGAACTTGTAGAACCTTGACAGGCTCAAGTTTTACTGTTGTTCACACCCTACTTGCAACAAACATTTTAACAGATGCTTCATTCTCATAGGAATGCCACTGTTCAGGGTTTTGTGAATCCTTTTCCTCAAAGTGAGCTGTTCTGCTTCTCTACCTTTGGTTCCCCCCTGCCCCCAGTTTTCTTTTGCAGTGGCTACTCAACATTTTGTTGCCACAGGGTATTTTGTTTTCGTTTTGCATGCTCCTGCAACCTAAGTATGCTTATCCTCTTGTCACAGCGGCCCTGCTCTGGCCTGAATCTTGTTGGCACTCCCGCCCTGCTAAAAAGCAATCCTACCCAAGAACTGCTGCCAGTCAGTGTTGACAGACCTGGACCAGAGAGATTCAGGGTCCCCTCAAGGGCAACTTCCTGTGTGCCTGTACAATCTCTCTAGAACTCGAGAGGAATCCCGCCTCTGCTGGAGTTTTCCACACTGCAGCTGGAGGAGAACTTTGTGAAAGGCATCTAGGTTGGCTTGACTGACATTGCAATAACAGAGCATAAATGAGATTCCCCCTCACACTCTGGTTTCCCTTTCTGTCTTTCATGTGCAGGGTCGGTTAAAGCATGGAGCCTGATGACTGGGGGTGAGCCAGTCCATCGTTACCAGCACAATCAGAAGATACAGGCACTCGCTCTTTCGGCCCAAGGGGCAGAGATAGCAACCGCATCAGCCTTCCAGGTCAAAGTGGAAAGCGCGGACGACAGGGGATACTGGGCCACCACTGCAGAGTTTGACATCCAGAAACTGGTGAGTGTCCCAGTTGTTCAGAACACACCTTTTACCCCAGCCTTGGCCAGTGATGTTTTAGGCATTTGGACAGTCGTTGAAGGAAGGAAGGAAGGAAGGAAGGAAGGAAGGAAGGAAGGAAGGAAGGATAGATCTATGAAGGGAAAGGAAGAAAGTAGAAAACCAGACAAAGAAACTTAGGAAAGGTATGATAGCTTTGGTGTGAACTTTAGAAAGGTCATAGTGTAGATGGGAGGAAGTGGCAATCAGGTAAGAATACAAAGGAACAGTGCTGTGTGCCATCTAATCTACTTTTGCCTAATTGGAATGTAAGTTGAGCTTCCAGGGTCAGAGGGTCTTTCCCCTTGCAAGCTACCCAGTCCTCTTAGTTACAGGTGCCAAGCTTTGAACCTGGGGCCTTTTCTTTGCCATTCAGGTGCTCTGCCTTGACCTGTGGCCCTTTCCCATTTTAGTCTGGGAGAAGAAAAGACCAAGAGGGCAAACGTGTTGAAAACAACAAACATTCTTCACCCTCTGTGGTAAAGAGGGAGCTTGAGAAGGGAAGGGTGATGCCGCTTCTGAAATTATCTGGACTCTTGCAGGTCGGCGCGCTCTGCCTGGTGCCCCAAGTGATGGGCTGCCCCGTGGTGATAGCAACTGCAGAAGAGGATGTTTACCTCCTGAAGACAGGTGACCCAGCCAAAATTCTGCATTCCGTCTATGGCCAGCCGGTCACATGCCTTGATGTCTCGGCCAGCGAGGTGGCCTTTGGAGTGAAAGGATTCGGTTGGCTGATCAATGAGACCAACAAGGTATTTTGACTATTTGATCCCATAACAAGTTTAAAAGGGAGCAACTCTACCCTAGCTCTAAGGCAGGGGTGCTGAAACTCAGGCTCCAGCACCAAATCTCGCCCTCCACTGATCCCGATCTGGCCCTTTGTGCTTCTCCAGAAAGTCCCTTTCCCTTGGCTGCATCTCCTGTCATGATCTCCTGGCTTTTGTGCATTTTTGCTGCCCTAATTTAAAAGGTTGACATCGTCTCCTAAGACTTGGTTGATGGCAGTAAGATCTTTCAGCAAAAATGTACTGCTTTTAGATTTGACTTTGTTGCTTTCAGCTCTGCCTGTCACAGGAAGGCAGTCCTTGTGTGCTTCTCTGGAAAAGAATTCAGCCCTGCCCTGCTGCTCTCAGGCATGGCGATTGTTGTTGGTTCATGCTTGGTTCTCTGTATTGTGCACGTCTCTTGTTTATTGCTTTCTATAGTGCTTTGACAGTACTTTCTGTTTTTAGTCTCCATCACCTAACATCCCTGCCAGGGAGTTCATTTACACCTTGTTGCATAAACTGCTCAGTAGTGCCTTTTTCCTTGCTTTTTTAAAAAGCCTTTAAAAAGAGAGAGAGAGAAGCATTTTTGTCATGCACCTACAGAGCGCAGCTTGAAATTCCATGATTGGCAAGCAGTGCTTTTGTGGCTTAATTTGCTGAAAGTGCTTGCGAACCTGGGAATTCTGGTGGGGTGTCTGTCTCACCCCAGATAAGCAGAAGATTTCCCTGGGATTGAGGAGGCCACTCGGGGTACAGAAGCAGGATCAGTCTGAGATAGATGGATCCCTCTGTCTCACTCTTTTGCTTTGCTGCTTGCACAGGAGTCTCAGCAAAGAAGGAAGTAAGCAGGAACTCTTTCATGCGGAGACCAAAAGGGCACAGGATCTTTCCTGCCCCCCTCCCCCCAACAAACAGTTCACTGGATTATCCATTGAACAGAAGAATGAGACAATGTGTTTGCTCCGGATTGCTCACTGATACATATGCCTCAGTGAGCAATCCAGAGGCACAGTGAAGGGAACTGGACCTTTTCATGCAGTCGAAAGCCTCCAGGGGGAACTGTTCGCCTTTACAGAGTAGACCCAAGAGCTCTTCCCCATGCGAGAGCTCAAACCACAACAGCTGCTCAAAAGCAAATACCGGGCTGTGGGGCTGTACTGGAAATTGTTCAGCAAAGTTGAAAAGCTTGCACCGAAAAATGTGAAATGGATAGTGCAACTTTTGGGCACCCACGGGGTCCATACCTGCCTTCCTCCTGCAAGGTCACAGGGAACCTCAGGCGTGGAGTTCACGTCCCATAGCAATTGGCAGTCCCCTGTGCTGTTGTCACTAGTGCCAGTTAAAGTCATATAAGCAAGTGTTATTCATTCATTCATTCATTCATTCATTTATTTATTTAAACATTTATATGCCACCTGTTTCACCCGTGGCATTTCTAGACAAAATAGGCAGCATATAAATGTCTGCTTTTTGGTGTTGCAGAGATGGTTTTCTCGCATTTGATTTTATACTTGTGATTGCAGAGTTAGAGTTTTAATGCTGTTCATGTACTGTATCAAAACTAAAACCAGCAGGGAACATGGCAAGACACTGATACATGTGGCATCAATTTAGGCAAAATACTAGGGAGTGTGCTGAGTTATTCAGCCTACCTTGCCTGTACAGGTCCCCGAGTTCAGTTTTTCTTGCTCCAGAATTTGGATCGCTCGGGTGCAGAATTTTAAATGTTTGGAGTACCCAGAGTCACTGTGAAATAAAAAGGACTTATTTTGCAGCCATATTGGCAGGGCAAACAATAACGGGAAGTTCAGAGGGCTTGGAAATGGAGTGGAAGGAATGGAAATGTCTCCAGTCGTCGTGAGAAGCCAAACAATAGGGCAGAGGCAGCACTGATGGCCTTCGATGCATTGTGCTGTTTCTTTTGGTTGGTGCAGCACGTGACAATGGAAGGGCTAGCAGCGGCCTTGAGTATGTGCTGTGAGGCAGGTTTTGTATGGCTAATCATTCCTCTGTGCTCATGCAGACTCTTTTATCCTGTCCCAGAGGATTTACAGTGAGTGGCATTGGTCATGGTCTCTGGGGTGTATTTTTCTTGCTCATTCCCTTGAACTTTTTGGGAAGGTGATCTATAAAAATGCTATATATGGGTCAGTCTTTTGAGCGATAACCTCTAGTTAGACAAGGTTTTCTGGCTGCCCGTCGTTTCACAATAGCAACAGCACAGGAGTGACTTTATGCCATGCAGTATCTGTGAAACTAGCTCAGTGTTCTCTCGTCTCTGGTCCCCAGCCAGGTGTCTCCTAGCACCTGCCAGGCGCCAAAGCAGCGTGCCACCCTTCAAGATAATCTTTTCTTGGGGTTCGAAAGAAGGGCGTAGCGTTTCAAAGACCAGATACCTCCTCAGCCTTGTGCTTACGTCTTTGCGCAAAGTTTCTTTTCTTTCTGTCTCACGAGTTCGTCTTACGAGAATTGCACAGTTTGTGATTGGCTGTGCCTGCCATGGTAGTCATTTTACGACTGGACAAGGCCCCCTTGGCAGCTCTGTGCCCATGACATGTGCTCAGAATTGCAAATGTGTGCGCAGCTCATCAGGGCTTCCCAGCATTTCTGAGTCAAAGGGCACACCTGGAATTTTGAGAGTGGCGAGGGCTGCCGCACAGAATGTCAGCCAAGGGGCCTTCCCCAGCCATGAGATGCCCGCCAAGGCAGGCACGGCCTGTCACAAAGGTTTATTTCCCAAAAGGTTTCACACGGGCTGCCCTTAGGCCTAGCTGGAGATGCCAGAGGGTCGAACCTGGGCCTGCGAAATGCAGAGCATGGGATCCACCAGTGGTTTGGCCTCCCCTTCCCCCCACCACTGCTGAGTGCTGCAGTCCTCTTCATACTACAACATACATGGAGCTTCACTGATCCTAAAAATTATAGGAAGGAAGGAAGACTCTTTCCCTTCCCCATCCGACCTGCATCACTGCTTGGCCACAGCATTCCTCTTCTGTAAAACACCCTGTTCCTCTTCTGCTGTACTGGATTGCCGAGGTGTTTGTGCATCTGTGCAGTCCCGCTGGGAAATCCGTGTCAGAATGCTTGCCGTGTAGGTACCACTTGAATGTGCCACTCATCCCAGTGCTCCTTCAGCGCCCTCCTTCAGCATCCGCTTCAGAAGGCTACAGAGGGAGTGGACACACTGGCCCCAGTTGGGTTCATATCCGGGTGTGATTAAGGGCTGCCTCCTCCTTTCCCTTACAATGGTTCGACCAGGCTGGAGCGAGCCGTAGGCCTTGTCCAGAATGAAAGAATTCTGCGCCCCAGAATGTCTCCTGCAGACAGGCGTGGAAGGGAGCTTATGGCCCTTGAATGTAATAATCACTCCTGTTGCCTCTTCCCCTCCACATCCCCTTCCTTCATTTTATCAGGATGGCTTGGGTCACCAGGGCAGGGCCGTGCTCCTACCGCTAGGACTCCAGAAATGCTTGGCAATCCCCTGGAAATGACGCGGAGATCTACTGGTCGATCCGTACCTACCTTCTCCCCCTTCCCTCTGCCCCACGTTATTTCTGCCCTCAGCCAAGCCAGAACACCGAGTTGCACTGGAAAGGCTTTCATGCCGTCCTTTGTGTTCAGAGAGGGTTCCTAATTTAGTTCTGAAGTCTTTTGGCGTGAGCGTGACAGATGGTTCATGAGCAGTGCATCAGCGTGTATTCTAATCAGGGAGATGGGGCTGAAGTAGCCCAGACGGCTGGGATGTGTTTGACAAGGATGCTGGTTTGCCTGGCTTTGCCGCACCGGCTGACATCACGCCGGAAACTAATTACTAATGTCTATTATGATAATTATTCCCCAGACGTGAAGGGACTTTGCATTGGTTGATTACTCTGGTCAGAAGTCGATGATCTATCTCTAGATTGATATTGAAGATGTACCGGTGCCTTTTGGCCCTGTTTGGGAGGGATGGACCCCGCCACCCGCTCAGCAGTCGTGTTTCATTTTGTGTTTCTGGGCCAAGATTCTGCTCACTGTTGGCAGTGAGGACTGGCTGAGCTGGAACACTAGTAGGTGCTGTGATTCTTCCATGTGACTGAAATCAGACAGCACTTTTATGCTGTTTCAGAACCGGTCAAAGAATTGTTAGCTGGCCGGTCGGCCTTTATAACTAGTGAGTTCATTTAAGTACAGTTTCAAATGCTTTAGCAGACCCCAGAGCATCTATAGGCGCCATTCTGAGGATGGAAAACCTTCATAACCAAAAGCCTCATTCATTGTTAGATCCATTTTATTTCCCAGGTGTGGTGTTTGTGGTTAAGGGTGCTGGACGGGGGCTCAGGAGATTGCAGATTCCTGCTTCTCTGCCATGCTGCTTATTGGGTTACTTTGGCCCTGTCATGGATTCTCGGCCTAGCCTACCATACAGGGCCATTGTAAGGATAAAACGGAGGGGGCGAGGACAGCCATGTAACCTTCCTTGCAAGAAGAAGAAAAAAGAAAGTGAATGTAATAATGAGTAAAAAGTAGCCTCACAGAAACAAAAATATATGTCCTTAATTTTCAGCTCTATTGATTAAAAAGCACTCCTCATGATTTAAGATTGGCACCCGCCATTTAGCCCACTAAATTTTTATTGTGTATGTATTTATTAGTAATATTCATATCCTGTACTACATTCCTGTACCACCCATCAGGCCATTTTCCGCAGCTCCTTGCATAAAAAAACCCTTGTTAAGAATTAATGCTAAAAACTTTGGCTGTTTCTACACATGAGTTTTAGATTCCTGGGATAATGCAGCATCTAGTGCAACTCTTTGTGGTACATTTGCAGTGCTTTATCTTCCCCAATTCCCTCTTTGTTCCCACCTTCTTGCACTGATGCCCATGGATCAAGCATAAACCACCATGAATATTGGAGTGATATTCAGAATGCACCAAAGCCAGCCACTTGCTTTATTTCTTATTTCCCTACCTTCCCTCCACCCTGCCCTCGTGAGAGACACCTGTCACATTTGGTTGGTGGGCAGAGGATCCTTTCCCCAGTTTTCTTTGTCCACAGGTTAAATGAGTTTAGTGACCTCCTTTCTGCCTTCAGCAGACATCTGTCCACATCTCCATCTCATCTGGTTTGGCCATCCTCCCCACTTGGCAGGCTGGAGGCAGGAAAGGTCCAGGGGCAGAAACAGCAGGGGTTGCAGGTGCTTTGGCTGAGTGCGTTGCCGATGTCCGGGCACTGTCTCCCCGTTCCATGTCTGACTCTCCTTGGCAGGGGTGGCTGCGGGCTGATCACTCGGAATATCTTCAAACACAGACGCGAAAGGACATGGAAGCCATATTTTGTTTTGGTATTCCTAGTCAAACCTCTCCAGCGATTGTTATGGCATGGCTTAGGTACTCAGAAACAGTGATGTATTTATGTATTTATTTTGCACCGCTGAGCTATCCCCTTGGTAGCGAAGATAGAAAATGGGATTTTGCTTCAGCTGATTCCCTACATTGGCTCTTTGTGAGTTGTGCAGATCTGTTCAGCACCTGAGTGAGAACTGTGTGCACGTTTGCCTGCCAGTGGAGAGTCACCTTTGGGAGAGCATGAAAGTCAATTTTCCCCATGATCATAGATGAGGTAGCATTCCCAGTGCTATAATGCTGACTTCTCCCTGGCAGGGAGCTTCAAGAGAGTCTGGCTGGCTGGTTGTCAAAAAATTACATCATATTGGAGTAAACTGCTTTTAAATCAAACATCCATTATTCATGCATATTAACTGCTTTATGTCCTCCCGTTTTTTAATTCCACACCCTTCCCCTCCAGCATACTGGCTCTTCTTTGTAGATTTACCCTTCTCTCACCCCTCCATTCCCATTTCACCCCCCTCTGCAGTCGATCTTCCAAATCTTAGCTCATCAGTAAATTTATTATCAAACTAATATTATCAAACCAATATAACCAGGGAAAACTGCACTCTCCATTTACCACTGTAAAATATAGACCTTTGCTGTCATGAACCGACTTGGCCATTGCTAACGTAGTGTGAATGTTGAGAGACAGGCTGTTAGCATGGCCCAATGTTGGGCTGAGTCTAGGAAGACCTGGGCTCAAATCCCCACTCAGCCATAAAGCTCAGTGGCTGACATTGGGTCAGTCACTGTCTGTAGCCCTGGCTTTCTTCATGAGGCTGCTTTGAGGTTAAAATAATGTACAGGTGAAGGAGCCCTATACATTACTTTAAGCTCCTCAGAAGAGAGGTGAGATAGAAACAAAACTGAATAATGTGAGTAACCATGGACTCTTAGTTTCTCATATTTCTGGCCAGACAGAGGTCATAGACCAGGGCCCTGAACCAAAGGACTGAACTCCTTGTCCTCAGAAGTAGAGACTCCACAGTTAAAGGTTCAGGAAGAGGACTTGGTAACAGAAAGACATCATGAGGCTTCCGGCCTCCTCGATCCCAGCTCCCCAAAATGATGATTGGGGCTGGTTTCTTTTCACCCAGAGATTTGCATTACCTTTCTCAGACTCTGAGAACTTCTGCCACTAGATTTTTTGCTTCACCTCAGCCAAAGGTTGCTAAAACAGGCCAGCCCCTTTTCGGAAAACAGATCTCGGTCAGTGTGGCGGTGAGGCCAACCAGCCTGAAGGAAGCCCAACTCCTGTTTCAGGCTCGGTCTTGATCTGTTGCTTGTTGGGACAACATACCAACAACTCTGTATTTGCATCTGGCTTTTGGAGCCTTTCCGTGCCACCGATTTATTCTTGGCTTGCCTCCTGGTGGAACCCCAGCTAGCCAGCCCCCTGCTAAGGATTGAACCCACAGAAGAACCCTGAAACCCAGACTGTAGCAAGGCATGATGGCAGGAAGCTCCATTACAACTGAGAGATTGCAGCACAGCGAGCTTTCTGCTCTGCTGGTAGGCCATCATCCACATCCTAGGCTAAAAAACCTATTTTTATTTTATTTTATTTATTTACAATATTTTTATCCCATCCTACTCGATCCATTGTCCCAGGACGGCTTACAATCACGGCTTACAACCTATGTGCAATCCAAAGCTGACCACCAGCCACAGATTTGATTCTCCTGTCTACTGGTTTATTTCAGCCCAGTTCAAGTGGCCAACTTTGATCTTGGATGATCTCAGCTGGGAGCATCTACTCCCAGGCATATACCCCACACACACACACACACACACACACACACCTACCTACATCTGAGATCCTGCGCTGGGACTCCTTTAGTAAGGGCTAATGATGTGGCACTAACATGGCTTCCCACTCTCACGGGGCTGTCAGTGCTGGTGCTGTGACAGGTGTGGATGCGGCCCATGGGTCCTGATCCTCCCATGATTTACGGATCTAGACACCCAGGTTGCATTGCTGCGGAAAAGGTGCCCCCAAATAGTTCTGTGCACTGTCTGGAAGACAGCGTGCTGATGGGCTTGTTTGCCCCCTAAGTGGAAGTCCCTCTCCCCCGTTTTGCCCCTCTCCACCCGTCTGCCAAAGGCCAAAGGCCACAGTGCGCCCAGTGTTCACTGTGAGAAGGTGGCATTAGACTAATGCATTGCCTGAACAAAAGAGAAAGCAGGGGGCATGAATAATTGATCCTGCTCTCCTGTAGCAACCAGAGAAAATGAAGTCCCATTTGCTCAGCCTTATTAAAAGAGCGAGCGAGGGGGTGAGGCGGTAAAGGTCGTTAAGGGACTTGTAACATGGAAAGAATCGCCTGCGAAATGGAGGCTGTGTTCCCCCCACACGCACTGCTAATCTCTGAGGTCTTTAACTCACCGTCACCACGAAGGCCGTCTTAAGGCGTTTTGGGGGCTTGTTGAATTATTCAGCGTCCAGGGAGAACTCCTGGGCCCAGCAACACTGGATCTCTGGATGTTGCAGAGCAGATACTGGGAGACTGCTTTGTTTGACGTGGTACGTTTGGCAGAGGTGGTTGCTTGCAAAGTGCCCCAGTCTAAAGCATCTCAGCTCACCTGCCTTTTCCTTAATCCTTGAGCTGCGTTGCTGCTGTCCCTCAGCACGCGAGGCTTACCGTGAACTGATGACCCGAGGTCTGTTGCCCACCAAAGGGACATGGGCACAGTAAGAGTGACCCCAGGGCAGCTGAGGCGCTTACCTACGTACATGCCCCTCAGTACTCTTGGCTCTTGCCCAGTGCATTTAGCTGTTTGCACCAAGTCAGCTCAGAGGGCTCTTTGGGGTGCCTTTTTAGTGGCGGAGCAAAGCCTCTACTTGCAGGCCAAATCCCACCCTTTGGGGTTCTGCCAGAGTGCCCTTCCCTTCTGTTGTGCAGTCCCCTTGCCCTTCTAAAAGATAAAAATGATTCTGAGGCTCAGGTCCTGGATGCTAGAGGGTCTCTTGGGCAGGACACAAAGTGGCACTGCAGTGAGAACAAAAGCAGGAATTGACTGCCAAGGAGGGAGCATTGAGTGGAACGAAAACAAACATCTGGAAGAACAGTCCTCATGATGGGAGTTAGAAACATAGAAACCGAGCCAGTCAGAAGGGGCCTCCCAGGCCATCTAGTCCGACCCCCCCGGCTCCAGCCGGCTCCGCTCACGACATGCCCACCATGTGCACGTCCAGCCTATCTTTGAACACCCGCACCGATGGCGCCTCAACCACCTCCCATTCTCCCGTGGAGTTCCCGTTCCACTGGGTCACAGGTTCCCCTCATCTGCTGCAGTGGCCCTGCCCAAATGCAGGTTTCTCAAGAACTAGGATCAGGGCTGCTGGGGGAAATAGGCAGCAGGGCTGATGCAGCACAAAGGCAGTTCTTAGAGGTTCACCCATGGATCCTCCCTCTGGCCTTTCCTTCAGGCCTCTTTTGGCCAGTCCAATTCTACTCTGATTCAGTGGCCTGCCTTCTAGTCAAAAGACACAGAACTTCAGGCCTGGAGTTTCCCCAGATCGTCCCTCCTCCATTTGGTGATTCCTGGATCTTTTTGTGCAGTTCCCCCTCCCCTGCACATTCTAAAAGGTCAAAACCACTCTCGCTTTGCTATTTGCAGTGAGAGTTTCTCATCAAATGCGCGACCTTATTTGGACCCTTTCTCCTTCTGCCCTGCTCATTGTGGGAATATCTTCTGCAGAACTTTCCCCAAATGGTCTTTGGCTCTCAGGCTCAGAAATCCTCCCAAACAGGCACCCCCCTGTCCATTTCTGCCACATGTTCTTTCCTCCCTGCCGTTGACTTGTCCTTGCCACTTAAAAACAGCAGAGAGCACTTGTCCTCTCCCTGAAAGCAGGTATCTTACACAGATAAGAGTTTTGCCACTGTGAGTGAGACTTAAAAAAAAAGACAGGGTTGAGGAGGCAGGGCCTGCCAAAGGAAAAAATTGTGGAATCTCAGCAACGGGGTCCCAGCAGCAGTCGCACTCTGGCGGCGGCTGTCGCTTGACCGTGTGCATTTTCATGGCCTTTCTTCCAGGTTCTTCTCTACAGCTTGGAAACGGGACAGTGTGTGGCACAGCTGGGCAGCTCCCTGGGCAGCTTCACCTGCATCAATCTCCAGGACAGCCCTCCTTCCATGCTGGTGGCCGGAAATAAAGACAGGCGGTATGTCCGAACAAAGGCGGTGTCCCAGTTTGTGTCTTGGGAGTTGTGCCTCCACAGCAGTTCCTGGGTTGGCTCACCCAGAAGTGGCTTTGGAGGCTCTGAATGGAATGTATGAAGACTTTGGGAGCCAGAGTTTTAGGTAATGGTTAGATGGCGCAAGATGTCTTGCTTTAAAAAGGGAAGGTTCCCTCTTCCCCTCCTAGTTTAGCCATTTGGTGGGCAGCCTGGCAAGGCCTTTTGGAACCCCTTCCTTCCCACAGACACTCTCAAAATGAGTTTGGCATTTAAAACCTCACTCCCCGAAACGGAAGGAGAAAAATAACCTAAGGGAGAAATTACTCAGGCCAAAAGAGTCCCCTCTGCCAGAAAGTGAGAAGAATGTATGTTGGGACACAGTAATGTCTCTCAGGTGACAAAAAGAAAAGGCGGGGGGGGGGATTTCATACAAACGGGTTCCAGATTCTGTTTAGCTGATTAGCAGCCTTCCCTTTATCTCCTTGGCTTGGCTGGTCCCATGCGGTTTCCTGCCCCCTCCGCTCGCCCCCCCCTGCTCCGTGTCTGTTGGCAGGCATGGAAGCGCTCGGAGTCATCAGCGTGAAAGGATTAAAGTGCTTTAAAAAAATACCCGTCGCGTCCAGTGTTTAGATTCCCCTACCCCCAGTTTTTGGGGAGTGAGGGGTGTTAATTATTGAAATGGTCCGACGCCTTGTCCCAGAGATGTTGCACAGTGGCAAAAGATTAGTCCGTAATCGCTCCCTGCTCTCACTGACTTCTCCCCTCCGCTTCATGCGCCCAGCCGTCAGGTTGCAGGAGGCAGTTTGGCTAGGTGTAGTCGACACTTCCAAAATTTAAGTCTTGCATCTGCCATGGCAGTTGCTCATGTCGTCGTCATTGTCATCCTCACATTTTAAAAACAGTGCCGTTGTTTTCTTTTTCAGTCAGTGGGCAAAGCAAATGCAACAAAGAGTCAGCAGAGAAAGCACAAGCGAACAAGCGTTTTGCTTTCCTTGTCATTTCACCCAGTCCTTAAATCTGCAAAAAACAAAACCAGAGAAAGCAGTCAAAGCAACCAAGAACTCCGAGTGAAATTTTTCCCTGCCCAGGAAGAGCAGCAGAGCAGGGCAGTGGAATGTGAAGCCATAAAATCCAAGGCTTGGAAGACTTCTGACCCTATAGGCTGTGTAAGGCAAGGGGAAAGACCGGACCTCATGGAATGCACCCTCCAGAAAACAGAGTAGCTGCATGCTTCTTTTTTCCTCCCTTCCCCACCAAGTCATGAAATAACCCTAAGGAGAGCAGTCCTCATGCTCCTTTCTCACGTCTAGCTGGCAGGGATGGCTGAGGCCTGGCCCCAGGCACAGCCTGTGAGAACAAGAAGCGCCGTGCTGGGTCAGAGCAAGGGGCCATCTGATCCACCATTCTGTTCGCCTGGTGGCTGACCAGCCACCCACAAGGAACCCCCAAGCAGGACATGGGTGCGATCACGTCCTCCTGCCCAGGTTCCCAGCAGTTAATGTCGCTAGACAAACCATCTGTGGTACTGGAAATGCCAAGAGCCCTCAGGACTGGTCGCCCTGGACAGCCGGCTCTTCCAGGAATTTGTCCAGTCCCCATTTGAAGCTGTCCAAATGGGTGGCCATCACCACCCCATCTTGAGAAAGGGAAGCCCATTGTTTCAGTATGTGCTTTAATACGGAACCGGACAGGTCTGCACCCAAGAAATCATACTGTCCCAATGCCCCCCCCCCCCCCGGCAGACACACATCTGTGTTAAAAACTCCATGTAAATAGAGAAGTAACAGAGCCAGAATAAGGTCAAGGAAGCCTCTTTCCACCTGCTCTACTAACTTTCTACTGCTAGGATTTATTCCTTAGTAGTATTAAAAGACAACCTCCTGCAGTATTTAACAGTTTGATTCAGTCTTCCACTTCATTTATTTACAGATGCTTGGTAGTCAGTTTTTAGCTAGGTAACCTCTCAAAGTAACACAGCAAAAGAAAATGCAAGCTGGATTTGTGTTAATAATAGATGTATTCCTAAAGATATGCACCAGCCACAAGGTTTGGTTTGGACCCTGGTTTGATGATTTCAAAAACAGACTCTGCTCAGATTGATTCTGAGGCCAATTGATTTGACTTGGATCCGAATCTTGGTCTGGAAATCCAAATCTTCATGCTTCCCACTGAGTATTATTGGAAATCAACAAACCTACTAAGTTTCAAATGAAGTGATACAGTGAACTTTATTCAAAGGCAGCTTTTATAGTACAGAAATTTCCAAAAAACAGATGTCTCCCTCTAGACTTTGCTTGCATAATTGTTAGGAAAATGACATTATAACATGAGGTGGCCCTAGTTAAAAAATGCCTGCAAAATTTCGGAAAGGTAGATGCAGGAGCTAGGGAGTTATAAGGATGAATGAAAACCATTTAAAACATTTTTGTTTTATTTATTCCATTTATATCCTACCTTTCTCGCATTGTGGAACTCAAGGTGGTACATGCAGTCCCCTGGGGTCTCCCCTCCCAGCTCAGGCCAGCCCCACACTTGCTTAGCTTCAGCAGGGTGGATGCCTGATGTGCCTTCAGGCCATACTTGTTTTCTGTTCCACAAAAGTTCAGGAAAATGCAGTAAGAGATGACTGGATTAAGGGTAGCAGAGGCAGAAGGACATGAAGATGCAGCATTTCCCAAGCAAGCACACAGTGCTATACTCTCCCAGGTCCCACAGACTCCACCCAGCCCCTTTTAATGTTCCTTTTTCTGGCAAAGACCGCTGAACACTGAAACCGGTGTAATAAAGCACTTCAGCAGCCTTTCCCTGAAGCTCTGGGACTGAGCCCTGGTAAAACCATTCACTTTGGTTGGGCTGCTGTAATTCACAGACCTGTACACTCTCCTCTCCCTTCCCACTTTCTACTCCCAGGTCTTGTATTATGTGGCTGGCTTAGGAAGAAATGTATAAATTTCCGGAGAGACGTTATATGTGTCTCTCAGGATCCTGAATCTTTGTGGGAGTTCCAGTTCAGACAATTCCAGTTCAGACAATTCTGTCTGAATCAACAGGGAGCTGCTCTGCATTGGGGATTTGCCTAGATCTGATGCCTTCCTTTCCATATTACTCATAAAAATACAAACTTATTTATTTAACTCAAAATGTGTTGACCGTTGTGCTCACAGGTATCAATGCATTGAACATAAAAATGCAAATTCGTCAGAACTACAGCACGATGTTAATTAATCAGCAGTTATTGTGTGTGCCAAACCATACCTGGCTGGATCAGAAGTTCTGCTGAACCTTTATGTATTATTTATTTAAAGCATTAGTATCCTGTCTGACATCCAGAACGGATCTCTAGATGGCTTACAAAAGACAAAAACATAACAGCACTTAAATGAAGCGTAGTCTTCAATATATAAAGATATACAGTAAAAAAAACAAACCACTCCACCATTAAAATATCAGTGATTAAAAGATTTTGGCCCAAATAAACAAAGTGTCAGCACCAGGTGCTCCTGTCCAGGGAGCTGGTTCTCTGGTGCCACCACAGAGAAGGCCCTACCCTGGGTAGCCAATCTTTCAAAGAAGACACCTGGCAGAGGGCTCCAGTAGAAGATCTCAAAGTTCAGGCAGGTTTGGCACCCCCAGAACTTTTGTTGGATTACAGTGCCCATGCTTCCTGGCCATGTGGGCTGGTGCTGATGGGAGTCGAAGTCCAGCAGCATCTCTGTTCTCCTCGCTGCATCAAAGTGTATTTGATGGGAATGCAGGAGAAGCCAAGATGCCCAGCACTTCAAATCCGATCCCCGCCCGCTAAAGTGCAAGACGCGATCGCGGTAATGCGGAACAACAGACGCAGCGTCAGTAGCTGGAACCTGGGAGATGGGGCTTGTAAGCCTTTTCCAAAACAACTCAGAAGTGTGCTTTGTTTTCCCTGGGTACGTGTGCCTGGAAGCCAGGTCCTCGCTAATGAAACCACAAAGACTCAGCCAGGGCTCGGTAAATTGAAGGCTGCCTGATTAACATACGTGGCGCCGGCAGGCAGAGCGCCAGGCTGTGCACTGTCAGAGAGGGGGGGCTTGGAAACGTTTCTGCTTTTGCCCGGTGTGGAGCTCTGTAGAGCCACCCCCTCAGACGGATGCGCTCGCACTCGCTCGCTCTTTGTCAGAGGAAGAGGGAGCTGGGCTTTGTTTACTCCATCTGTGGATGTTCTGACAAGCAGCGCCGAGGTGTTGGGAGCGCCCCAGCCCAAGGAAGCTCCCTGCGCTTGTTCCAACCTGTCAGATGGATTCTGCCCAGTCGGAGTCTTGGTCGTCCTTTTGTTTTAATTGTCAGAATAGAGTTATTCGTGGGCTCCTGCGGAGCAGTTTCATTAGAAAAGGGCATGGCATAGAAGAGGCTTTTTTCTCATTTTTTGGAACGCGCTCCAGATCAGAGCAGGAATCCTGAACTATGAAAGTTTTGGCATGGCAAAGCTCCCCCTTGGGGGGCTGCAATCCGCTTGGGCATTGGAGCGCCAGCAGATCGTCACATCCCAAGATTAGCTTCGATTTCTTTTCCAGCAGCCTCTGCAGTCGTTCCCGTTTGATGCCCCCGGTCGCGTTTTCTTTTTCACGATCTGTTTTAATCGCCAACATTCCGGATTATAAAACTTTTCGCCCTCTCCTCCTGTGCTTATGAGCTTGCATCTCAGACAGAGTCCCCGGTCTCTGGGTTGGCCAAGGGTGCTGCTGGTGCTCACGGTGGATGTGGCTGCCCAGTAGACACGGTCCTACCCTGGCGAGACCTAAGCACACGGCTCAGGTAGGACTGAGCTCCAAAGTACCAGGCCACTTTTTGGAACCAAAATAGAGAAGGCACTGGAGAGCTGGACAATGGTCTCCAGCATGCCAGCTCCCCAGTTAAAAAGAAAATAATTAAGGTCTTTAAAAATTAAAAGAAATTAGAAAGGGAGGGAACCTGGAGGGCTGTAAGAGAAGCATCTGTGGGGACATGGGTACCCACGGGCCTCGTATTGAGTACTCCAGTCTGCATCAACCCTCCTTTCCCAACCTGGTGCTCTCCAGGTGTTATGGAGTTTAGCACCAGCCAGTAATGCCAATGGTCAGGAATGCTGGGAGTGGTCCAAAGGGTCCAGAAGGCTCCAGGTTGCGGGAGGCAGCTCTTGACAAGAGGCTTACAGGTTAGGATCACAAAAGACCAGGAGTCTTTCTCGTGCAACATGCTGTTCCCGTGCTGGCCAACAAGCAGGGTGTGAGTGTGGCAGCAGCCTCCTGGTAAGCACAACACCTCACACTGCCGCGGCCTGGAGCAACAGGCCATCGCGCAGAAGTGGGGCTTCCTCAGGGAGGGCCACATCTTGCTCCCGGCAGTGTATTCGCAGTGCCGGCAGGCTCCTTGACCCACTGAGTGTGATTTCCGCAGACACTCGCTAGGCATCCTCATGGGGCACTCCGCTTTTGACTGCATGCCCTGTATGAAATCACGCATCGATTTCTCATTTTGATAATGCCAACACAACAATCCCAGTGGACTCGGCGATCGGCTTTTTGCAACACAGACGCACTCCGTTGCCAAGCCCAGGAAGTTAAAGGCTTGTGAGTCAGACCCTGAAATGATTGGGTTAGCCTCTGAGAGGGATTAACCACCTGGGCTCATGTTTTAACTCATGCAGTGGCCACGGTTTAGGTGGCTTTGCCAGGGACACCCACGAAGGGAAGATCCAGAGCTTCCGTGTTAAGAGGTAGGATACCACTAACACCAGTTACTTCAGTGCAGTGGTAGGAGTGATGATTGTTGGCTTCATGCTTCCTCCAGGGCTTCTAGGATGTCCGGGAGGCCCTGCTCTTTGGTAAACAGGGTTTTGGACCTTTGGTCTGATGCATGTTCTTCCAACCATGAGAAACGGTTTTATTTTTAAAACTGGCTATAATCCTTAGCCTGTCACTAATGCCCTTGCAGAACAGCTGTAATAAATCAGCTCCTGCCTGATGCAACTCTCCCCAACCCAGCACACCCTTGACGGGTTGGATTTTGGCGCTCATAATCCTCCAGCCAGATGGGGATGATAGAAGTCAGTGTCCAACTCATCTGGAGGGCACCAGATTGTAGAAGATAGGTGAAAATAGGCAGTATACCATAAATAAGGGAAGTGTGCAAACCGGCATTGTGTCTGTGTCTGAGTGTGTGTACTGATAAGAAGAAATACAGGCACTGATTTGGACGTTGATTTGGATGTTGCATTAGACTGGCTGTTGAACAAAAGTTTGCAAGTTTCCAAACAGGAACTCAATGGAAACCATGGTGCCCTAGTGCCCTTGATGGTTGCTTTTGCTGAGTAAGTTTATACATAATCATAGTCTCCCAAATTTTATCAACCCACTCTTGTTCAATTACTAATCCAAATAAGGTTTTTTTCCCCTACACTTCAGTCCTTCAAGTTAGAAACTTGTATTCTCACTTTAAAGTAAGGCTCCTGGTAGCTTGAGTTCTAAGCAACAAACCTCACATGGAGTCCAACAGATTAACTGACTGGCTGTACCCATTTCATTGGCTGTGTTCTGGAATCACGCATTTCAGAAATCATCGCTGCATTAGCTTGCTGCATTCCCTTTCTGTGTAGGAGGTGTCCAGAACGCCTGTAATAACAGTCCTGTTCTCATCTTGTAGGGTCAGGGTGTACGACCTCCGTAGCAGCAAACCTGCCTGCTCCTTCTACGGCCACCAGCTCGGGGTCTCTGCTGTGCAAATGGACGACTGGAAGATTGTCAGTGGAGGAGAGGAGGGGCTCGTTTGTGTGTGGGACCAGCGGATGGGCACCAAACTGTGGGAAATGCACGCCAGGTAAGGAGACCGTTACTCAGCCTATTTCCTGCCACCCGGTTCCTAAATCAAGTTGATAGTGGTTGAGCGACTTAATTGGATCTCTTCCCCCCCACCCCCCTCCCCAGTAACTAAGAATTATTTATTAATTTATTTATTAAAACATTTCTATGCCGCCCCTTGCCGAAGCCTCAGGGCGGCTCACAACACAAAATAAAATACAATAAAGCACAAAAATAACAATATAAAATTAACAATATAAAATAAATAACAATATAAAAGAAGTCGCCCTGGCCAGAATTAAAAATAGAAACAGATTTGTTTTCCATTGTCAATCCCTCTGTCTCTTTCCTTACCCTTCCTTGGTCGTTTCCACTCTGTCCCTTTTTAGATCAGGCCTTGGGAATGAGTCCCTTCGGAAGTCGTGGGCTTTCATTGACCATCAGCACCAACCAGCAGGACCCATGATTAAGAATGTTTCCATTCTCACCCAGCAGCGTCTGGAGGGCAATAAGCTCCATGCCTGCTTTAGATAAGGAGCGCCTTGTTCTCGTAAACCTTTCCAAAGCAGGGGCGGAGCTAATTCGGGTCCACATTCAGTCCTCTGGAGGTCCCAACCCAGCCCTTAAGCATTTCGAGCAGTGTGTCTCCTGGGCACTGACAGCTGCTGGGTGAATTCCTGGCTACTGGGCAACCCCCCCCCCCCCCCCATCCTAAACAGTTGAAATTCCTCCCCTCAGGCTGACTTGCTGGCATCAAGAGCTTTCGGCTTAGCCTCTGCTGGTGTCCATGGGGTCTGGGCTTGGTCCTTTTTGCCGTTACCCTCACCCAGCAGCTTCTCCAGAGTGGAATTCCTGTGCTACGCTCAACGCGCAGCAGCTGGGTCCTCACAGCCGCTCAGCTCGGCATGGACCGCTGTGTCATGCGGATCCAGAGCCTTCCCTACAGGGCGGCTTGTTCATGGGCTGCAAGCCACCCCAGCAACCCGCGGCCTGTTGTTGGGGGTGACCGACCCGGGGAAGGGTGCTGAGGAGCAGCTAGCAAGCCACTGGGCAAGGGAGGCAACGGGGCTTTGTGCTCTTGCCGAGCTCGTCTGGGCTGCTAGCAGCCCCCCAGGAATTCCCAGGTTGTCCCAGAAGGGGTGCCTCCTGCCAGTCGCAAGCCCCTTTGCCTTGCCCCCTCTTTAACCTTCCCGGGAGTGTGACCCCTGCTTTGACAGCTAGCAGAACTGCCTGTCTGTTGGGCACCCTGGGGGCTGTTTGGTCACCCACCCACTCACCCACCCACCCACTCACTGGGGCTTGTTGAAGGCAGGCTAGTGCAACATACGAATATCAGGCCGGCCAAGCCGAAGGGTATTCATGCCACTTCCTGCATTCAGAAGGTGTTGGATCAGTGGGTCGAAGCATGTTTTGCAGGCAGAAAGTCTCCAGCACTTCCAGGTAAAGGGATCAGGTCATCCCTAGGGCCTCAAGGCATGGCTGGAAATACAGCTCCTCTCTGGAACGCTGGAGCTGCCAGCTGCTCCGGACAGTAGAAGGTGGGCCAGCCAAGCTTGCTTCGATGCAAGGCGGCGCCTTTTGTCGGGGCAAGAGCTGTAGTGCAGCAGTCCCTGGCTGGGAAAGACCATACTGGGCCCCATGGCCCCAGTGATTTCCAAGGCCATTCCTTGGAGGAAGGGTGGCAAGTCAGTGGCTTGCATACCGAGGTCCTGGATTCAGTTTCTGGCAGTCTTGGAGGAGCTGAAGACCAAGTTCTGGAGGGCCACCAGTCACCACCCTTGGCCCTGACCATTGCAGCCTTCTGGATTGCCTGGTGGGGTTGGCCTCTGGGGCCCCTGTCTCGCTGTGGTTCTGGCCCCCTCTGTCAGGTCAGGCCAGGTCCAAACAGGTGTTGGGAAGAGCCCTGCCTGTCAGCGGGGACAGTACCAAGCGGGCCAGTGCCCTGACTTGGTATAAAGCAACCGTTTGCACAGTCTTCCACGATTATAGACCAACGACTCGCCTTTAGTTGAATCAGGCACTTGCAGACTTCGAACTTTTCAGACCAGGGACCCCCTTTAGCTAGCTCAAAACATGTTTGCAGCCCACTTCTTAATTTTTGACCACACTGTTTGTAAGACGGTAGTCCTGTTGTGGGGTCTGAAGTGTAGTCGTGGGTCCTGGCTGCTCGCTGAAAGCCAGCGCTAGAACTGCAGTGTGAGATACCTGCAGGGGCCCAGGCCGGGAGTGGGCAGTGTAAATGAAGCTCTATTTGCTTGTGCAGCCAAGAAGCTCCCAAGTCCAGTGCTGTTTCAGCCGGACGCCACTTGGTGGTGCTAAAAGCAGTCTTTCCGGCTTAGCTAGGATTCCCTCTCTCCCTCTTTCCCCAGTGCGGCAAGTTACAAATCTAACCAGACTCCTGTAACTGAAAAGGACGAAGAAGCACGTAGATTCTCTCAAGCTTTAATTGGTCAGAAGGAATAAAAGATCCCAGTGGTTTCGGTTTCAGGTATCTCAAGTAACACAGGATGTAAGATAGAATAGCATGGGCCACCCTAGGCTGCTGGCCGTGGTGGCAAACAGGCGCTCCCAGCACCACCTGCGGACCCGAGCTGGCAGAAGAGGTCATAATCGCAGCCGTGCAGGGCCCCGAAGACCCGCCGCCAGGTAACGCAGAAAGCGGCAGAGTTCTGGGGGCGGCTTGGTGGGCCTCCAGGCAGTTCGTCTTCTGCTCCCCTGACCGTTCTCCATTCCATGTGCCGGTTAGGCCTGGTAGGGATCGTGGCCCTGTAGAGGTTTTGCCTACGAGTTGCCCATCCTTGAACTGCAGCATCAGAAGCAGCCAAAAGCTCAAAGCAAATACTGCGTACTCCTCTTAACGTGCACTTGGGAATCCAGGGATTTGTGGGTGGTTTTTGTGTAGATTTGTGCCAGCTTGCTGTACAATTAAAACTGCGGATCTTTCATGAGGGTTTCCCTCCCCTCCCGTCCCCTTCTCTTCTCTCACAAGGGAGTACTTTAAAAAGTAAAGAGCTTGTGCATGAGCATCCAGTGGCCAGAGCATACGTGGCCCCTGCGATTGCCGCTGTGTCCTCTTCACCCCACACATTTCCTCTAGATGGTGATTTTGGGCCACCTGGATTGAGTGCCAGGGATGTGGAGCAAAGCCGGCTGGGGGGCTGACTGGAATCGGCATGCGTCCGCGCCCCGTCTCCTTCCTTCCCTCCCCGCCAGCACGCCGCCTCCTACCTGCCGAGGCCCAGTTGCCAGCTGTGGGAGCACTTGGCAGGTTTCTTTCCGCACTGGCCCCGAGGCTTCCAGGCAGAGGCTGAGTCTTTGGAGTCCCAGCTCCAGCTTCACAGAAACTTGAAACCGGGGCTCCAAAAAGTCCTCGGGTCTCCCAGAGGATCGCATGCTTGAACACTGCAGATATAACTGTTAAGATTTAAAAAGCCAAAAACCAACCAACCACAGAACTCATGCTTCCTTTTGCAGGCACCCAGTCCGCCACATCTGGTTCAATTCCCACAGCCTCATCACCGCCAATATTCCCGATGAAAAAGTACCCCGAGGGGCCAGCATCATGGATGATGACTTGACGGCTCATCGAAGGTGAGGAACAACCTTGATCCGTCATTTTATTAGGCAGAAATGGGGGAAAGAGTCTGGGATGCAGAGAGGTGTGTGGGATGGGGGAGAGAATTCGGCTTCTGTCCGTGTGTCCAGACAGCATGTGGCAGAAGCTCCCAGCTTCAGTTTCATGACTTTGGACATCCTAGGGAGCAGTGCCTGAGAGAGAAGACTGTACCAGGCTGGGTAGACTGGTGCTTTTCCTGTATATAAGGCAGCCTCGTATGGTTGGGAGAGGGAATCAGCTAAAACTCACTTGGCTGATGTCAAAACTAGCGAGGTTTCCAAAAGTTGTGATGGCCTGGTTTGGAAGTTAAATTCATTTGGTTTGTAAATACCCAGCCAGTTCTGAACCATGACTAGGAAACTTTGCCTGTCCCTTGTCCGAAACCGACTTCGGGAAAGCTGCATGTTGACTCGGGTACCTCTATTTGGTACAGTCCCAGAGCTGTCTGGGCTATGCTGGGCGCATCACTGCAAGCACCAGGGCTTGGGAGCCTCCGAAGCTGCCTTGCGCCCACTAAGACGCTTGTGATCCCAGCAGTGCCAGCACTGACTGGCAGTGGCTGTCCAGGGCTTGGGCAGGGGCCATTCCAGCCCTGCTTGGGGGTGCCATGATCGAACGGGAGGCCTTTGCATGCAAAGCATCCATGCCAGTGTTGCCCTTACTCATTCAGTGCGATGAGCTCTAAGTTGCAGCTTCTGTCTGAATGTGTGTCTTCATCTTTGTTTTCAACAGAGTGTGTGTGTGTGTGTGTGGGGGGGTGTAATGGCTGAGGCCGTGTCTGGCTTCCTTCAGGCTGCAGGGATTCAAAATCAAGCGCATATTTTGTCAATTCTTCTCTCCCCACAACACTCTGGTCAGGAACCGAGGAATCATCTATGCCTACGAGTTCTCGGTGGACCAGCTGACCGCCGAGAGCGTCCTCCCAATTTGCCGCTCCTCTTACAACGAAGTGACTGGCTACAACTACAACATTGGCCTGGCGGTCCCCTACGACAACCTCTAGCCAGGTGGGGAGCCAGCGGTGGCTGGTTGACGCCAACGGATGTGGACTGGCAAGGACCCGCGTCACACTGCCTGGCAGCAGCAAGGGGCTGCAGTGGAGAGGAGGAAAGGCCGAGCTGCTCACCCGGAGCCATCCCTTGCGTGCATCCCGATGCAGCAAGACGGAGGCGGCGAGGGAAAAGGAGGCAGCGGAATGAGCCGGGAAGAGTCCCAGTGCTCTGCAGAGCCCCCGTGTGGCACAGCAGCATCGGCGAAGAGAGGCTGCACCCAGGCAGCCGTGGTACAGAGGTGGCACAGCAGCCTTGGAAGGGCGCTGCCCTGCCAGCACCCCGCGTGGGCAGGGAAGCCAGATGTGGCCGAGAGAAGCAGCTCAAGTTAGTGAGGAGGGAGAGACGGCTGCGGCAGAGCTGCAGGGGTGGAAAATTGGGTGAACGAGGGAACTCTTGGAAGGTGCGGGAAGATCGTACATGAAACTGCACCAGAAATTTGGTAATTAAAGTCTCCAGAGGGGGAGGGAACGCCTCATGGGAAAGACACTCTTTCCTGGGAGGGGAGGGGAGAGCGGGTACAGGGATACCCTTATTCTGTGGTCTTCAGCAACTTCAAAGGAGTGAGGTGAGGTCAGCAATTGCAGAGCAGAGTATGGAAAGTGTTGTGACATGGCTATGTTTTTGGATGTTCTTGCTTAATCATGCACACCCAAAACATGGCAGGAGGCTTCACAGTCTAAGAAGAGAGGAGGAAAAAGCACTTTATTCTGGTAAGGACTTCTTGGAAGCTGGTGCCTCCATTGTGGGGAAAGAGTCAGGGGAGAGAAGACAGTCATGCCTGCCAGGCGCGCACACGGGTAAGCCAGGTTGGACTAGGCCAGGGAAGGCCGTGAGAGAACATCTGTCTGGACAGCTTGGCCCTTCAGTGGCAGTCTAGCTTAGCTTTTATGTTTCTGGTGCTCAGGGAAGATTCTGAAAATGAAAACACAATAGAAGCAAAGTCAGGCTACCCACAAGAACCTAGGAATTGCCATGTAGGCTTGACCGCTAAGGTCTGTGGAGGCCAGTGGCCGAGCAGATGCTGTCCTCCATCCCTCTGCTGAACCAGGGGTGGCCTGGAGCCATCACACCTAGTGAGTACTGATAAAGAAGTTACCTTCAGTGGACCAAGGTACTGCAATCACCCAGATTCATGCTTTCTCCACGGACAGAGGAAGAGAAGGATTTGTGTACAGATCGTGTGTACTTCTACAGATAAGCTACAAACCTGCTTGTGTTTTCTTCCCTCCCCAGCCCTTTTTGTTCCACGTCATGTCTTTTACGATCGCAAGCAAAGGAATGGGGATAACTGTGGAGTAAACATGGAAGATTCCGTCCTGCATGTAACTGAGTTTAAATATCTACAGAGGTCATCATTTTAAGATTTCTAATAGGTTGGGCCTCTTTATTGTAAGGTGGTCTATTTGTTTGGCTTAGCTGAATAGAAATATCCAGGCCCACAAAAAAGTATAAAATCAGTGTATCCCAAAGAGAGCAGAATTAAAAACAGGCCCTGCTTTTATTGATGTGTTGAGGCATCGTCTAGTGACAAATCAAGGGAGAATCCGTAAAGCTGGGCCAGAGGGACCGCCTCTGAGGCATGCCAAGCAAGTGAAACTCGCTGCCCTGCTTCTCTGAAGGACAGGGAAGGGCAGCTCCCCCTTATACCCGTGTAGACCGGCCAACGTGTTGTCCCAGGTCACTGCAAAGGCACCGGCATCTGCGCTCCAGCTCCTCCTCGGTCAGTAGCACATTGCGATGGGCTCCATGGTGAGGAAGCGGACGTGCATCTTGGTCTCGATGTCTATGCCTTCCCATATCTGTCATTGGAGGGAGTGAGAGCATCAGACAGGTGAGGGGCAGGTTCTGGCCGTGCACCTGCAGTTCCTGCACTGCAGGTCCAGAGACCCAAAGGAGTCACTCAGTCATTATCTCCGGTTCCTGGGGACTGTGGCCCCCAGCACTCCTAGCCATTGCCCGTGCTGGCTGGGGCAGAGGGCAGCTGAACTGAATCAGCACTCCACAAGTACCTCAAAGGCTGGCACAAAGAGGAAGGACAAGGTCTCTTCTCATTCATTCCAGAGTGCAGGCCACGGAATAATGGACTCAAAAGAAACCAGATTTAGACTAGAGACCTGGGAGAAGTTCCTGACTGTCAGAGCAGTTCAACAACGGAAATGATTACCTGGGGAAGTTGTGGGCTCTCCCTCGCTGGAGACATTCACAGAGTTTCTGGACAGTCCTCCGATGGGGAGGTGTAACTCAGTGCCCTGCAACAGCAGGGGGTTTCTGACCCAGAGGCCTTCTGACCCTTCCAGCTCTACTATTCTGTGAAGTCCAAGCTCTTTCAAGGAATGCCAGGTTGCAGAAGGTTGAGGGGGCTCTTCTCTTCCCCTCCCACCTCCCCATCAACATAAGAACAGCTCCAATATCGAATGCTCAACATGTTTACATGTTTGTATGTACTTGTTTTTATAAAGGACTTTCAACATTTCAATCTTTGTGAATTGCCCTGACAGCTTTGGCTATCGGCAGGTGGGAGAATATAGAAATGCGACAGCTGCAGCCAAGAAATCTGCTACTTTACATTCCCTTGAGGGAATGTGGACTGTAAATCGCAATTCATAAATCTTACACAAGCTAGAGCCAGAGAGGAGGGACACGGGGCAAGAACAAGGGATACTACTTTTGCCTCTAATCTGGGGAAGGATGCATTCACTGTAAACTGCCCAGAGATCTTTGGCTGTAGAAATGGGATTCCATGAAATGAAGTAAATTGAGATGTGTTAGCTCAGAGTCTGGATTTTGGAGCGCCGTGGAGGGGGGCAGAATGCCTTCTCACTGGAGAAGGAGTTCACACAGGCGGGGACACAAATGGCAGTGGGGTTCTTACTTCAGCTGCCACTGCAGTGAAGAGGCAGGTCCTGCTTTTGATCTTCTAGCACACCTTAAAAGAAGTTCCCTCTGGATAGATAGAAAAGGTCAAAGCACAGCACTTCCCAGGCTGTGTGCTTATTTCCAGCTAGGGTTTAACAGGGCGATGTCATTCAAGATGTCATGCTCAAACGCCGCTAGCAACGGTCTGTTTGAAGGACTACCTCAGCACCTGCACTGCCAGATTCTTGAAGAACAGGCCTGAAATGCTCCTTCAAAGAGCACAGAACACCCCCAGGGTGAATGTTCATTCAATAACTTGGCCTTCTCCAACTCCTCATCCTCCAGATGTTTTGAACTTCAGCCTCCATCAGCCCCAGCCACTGTAGCCCCTGGTGGGAAATTGCTGGAGCTGTCATGAAGAACCTCTGGAGGGCACCAGACTGGGGAAGGCTGGGCTGCACTGCGTGGCTTTTAGGTTTACTTAGCTACTGGCCTTCCTGTCCTTGTCATGTAGAGATGCAGAAGATGCACCCATTCAGGGGACCTTGAGCGATCACTCCCCTCATCCCTCACTATGGGTTGCTGTGGGTGGAGTTGCTGATGGGAGGTGGCTTCCAACAACACCAAGAAACCACATATTCCCCACCTCCCGTAATCTCTCTCATCAGTACATTTTTAAAATCGCCCATCCTTTTTGTTAAGCAGCCCAAGTAGTTCAGACTACAATAGAGAAGTTAGCAAGCGATCGCCGCCTCTCTGAGTGGAGACTCAAATCCCAGTCTCACTACTCCAAATCCAACATTTTGCACACTGCACCACCTCGTCCCTTGGATTGATTGGGAACTACATGTTGGAAACGTGCTAGATTTCCCCACTTTTGCCCTGCGAAAGATTGCATTTCGGTGCTTTTGGAAGTCGCACAAGCACACAAAAACTTTCTAAAGCACCTGTTTGTCTGTCCCAGGAATACGCTCATCACCCCACAGCAACAGTCCTCTCTCTTGGGCCTGTCCACAGGGCCAATATGCCACCCCACCCCTGCATCAGTCTTTATCCCAAAAGCCAAGTAAAAACAAGAGTCCGTTCCAACCTTAAGGAAGTCTTCAAATGTGATTCCCTCATACACTTGGTCCGGCTCCTGAAATTAGCGAAGAGAAGCGTTACTTTGCGAACTCCTACAAGAGAGTCGGTGCCATTCTCGTAGGAGTGGGGAGAGACTGGTGTGGGGAGAGACTGGAGCATGGATCCAGGTACCTTCCTCTATATAGGTGTGCACCATGCAGGCAAGAGAAGGACAGAGCACCTGCCTTGTTACCCATAAAGCTTGCAGGTGCCAAGCAAAGGTGGACCCAAGGGCAGGTGCTTGCGTACAGCGCCCCCACCCGCCCCTGGAGGTTGACGCTCCCTCACCATTTGTCCCACGCAGATGCCAGCCGCCTCCATCATGGCTCCGTCGGCGATGGACCTCACCGATTCCTTATCCAGGTGGGGGTTCCCGGAGAGCATTTCTTTCACCACCTGGCAGGGAGGAGCAAGTCAAGCCAGTTGCTACGGCAGGGCAGCAGCCACAGAAAGTGCAATTAGGCAAGGAGAAGCCAAAAGGATACATTACATTCCTGTATTCCTGAAGTGTGATCTTCCCATCACTGTCTGCATCATACATGTGGAAAAGAACTAGGAGACACAAAGTCAAAAGAAACCGGAGGGTCAGAGCCAGCCAATAGCACAATCCCCTGAATGTTTATTCGGAATTAAGTTTTGTTGCAGCTAATGGGACTTGCTCCCATGGGAAGCATGCACAAGATTATGGTCCCAGTCTGTGCACCTCTGCAAAACGATTTTAAACCACGAGAAAAATCCAGGACCTGATGAGAGTCTCTCCACGTGCCACCGAAAGGCTGAGAGAAAAGGCAGGACTTAACCTGGTGGTGAGAAGATAGCAGTGCTGCTGCCGAGCAGGACGGATCAGGGAAATCCGTCCACAATCGGGGCCCACCTTGCTCTTGCTACCGCTTCCCAAGCCTCCCTGGAGGGAGCAGGTCGGACTGCAGCGCTCATCCGCTAAGTTGCCGTCAAGTTGGCAAGTTGCGGTCCGGGGCACCAGCGCTGCACATTTCAGTGTCTCAGTCCTTGTGAAGGTGATTTTTCAAAGCACGCCAATTCATCTTAAAGGAGATCTGCAGCACAGTGCGATCATGTCCCCTGGGAAGGCCCTTGCAGTTCAGAGGGGCTTGCTGTCCAGCACGGGGGTCGGCAACCCGTGGCTCCGGAGCCACACCTGGGTCTTGAACCCCTCTGCTGCAGCTCTGTCACTCAAAATATGCATCTGCAAGCCGCACTGGCACAGCACAGCCCCCGATCTGTTTCATAAATGCAACGCACTATAGTTTTTTTAGATATAGCATATAGGTAAAAAACGATATATGCAGTGTTATTTTCATTTTAGAGGTCAAAAGACTTGCAGCTCCCGGTGTTTTCTTTTGTGTGGGAAACGGGTCCAAATGGCTCTTTGAGTGTTAAAGGTTGCCGACCTCTGGTCCAGCATTTCGGGGTAGGACTGCACCTTTGGACAAATTGGTGGATGACAGTTCCATTGTAGCCGTTGATGGCCACAACAGTAACCCAGGACCTGCCAGAGAGATAATTTCCTGCCCAACTGATACCACAGAGAAATAAAAGATCAGGAAAGAACTACTAATGTTACACACAGTTGTCAACATAACAACATACTGTCAAGCTGCACAATGAGAGAGGCAGTAAACAGAAATGGCATTAACTTCAAACCAACGCCAAGGCCCACAAGCCACCCAATGCTGGTACAAACTTTAGTCTCAGATATGCAGCTGTTTCATAGCTGGAGTCATCATTTAATACTGACATCGTGTGTAAAATTTCCTGACCTCATATTTCTCTTTGGCAACAATTTCAGCAGCAGTGTGTGTCTAAATATCTGGTGCTGCGGGAAGAGAGAGAAGCAAAATTGAGAGAGAAGATGCTGACTTCATTTCCTGTTTCTGGAGTTCTTGCGGGGTTCAGCATCGCAGGAAATGAGAGAGCTGAGCTACAGAGGCCTTTCATCCGGTCTAGTTGCCAGCTACTTCACAGCCTTCATTGAGAAGAGTCTCAAGGAAGGCCACTTCTGCTCAAAGCACCTTTCCTCGAACATTAAATGCCACGTGCATCATTGCTCTGTAAACATTTATTCTATTAAGTAAGGAAACATGGTGGGACCTTTCCTTTGCTGATCATGAAAAGTTTTATAGGAACCTTGGATTTTTGTTTTTGCTATTCACCTTGGGCTAAAGGATGTCAACCTTTGTGGTCTGTGTAATGAATATAAGGAGGACATAAGAATGACTTAAGAATCAAGGTGAACTTTTAAATTGGGAGATGGGGGCACCTACACTAAAGCATATGTGAAGAGGAGGGGAACCCTCCCTGAAGGAGGTAGAGAGGGGGTCTGCCCAGAGGAGGGCCTTCTCTGTGGTGGCGCCCAGATTGTGGAATGCGCTCCCCAGAGAGGTTCGCCTGGCGCCGACTTTATACTCTTTTTGGCACCTGGTAGAAACCTTTTTATTTACCCATCATTTTAAGGATTAAGGGATTTTAAATGGTTTTTAATATCAACAGTTCTTGTTTTTGTTTGTTTATTGTCTTAATTATTGTAATTGTTTTTCTTGGTAATTATTACTGTTGTTGTAATTATTGTTTTAATTATTGTAATTATTGTTGTTTTAATTATTGTAAGGCATCCTGGAATGCTTTTTTGTATAGGATGGGGTAAAAATATTTTAAATAAATAAATATGCTTATATCCTTATTTGCTGAGTACACACACCATGCGTTGACATTGAACTGTGCTCTGCTGCGTCTTGAGAACCCAGCTGCACTGGGTCTGTTCACCACAAACTGCGACAACAACCCATGGTTTGCTGGTAGGATGTAAACTGTGGGTGGTCTGTGGCTTAGCAAACCATTGTTTGCCACTGCCGCTGGGTTTGCACAATACAACAACCCACGATTCAACCCTGTTTGGGTTGCGTGAGCCATGGCAGCATCTTGGATGCAGGGTGTACCCTTTCCACTCGCCAGTGCAAACTACAGACTTGACCCCCCCCCCACACACACACACATACACACTTACATTTCAACTTCTGCTTCCTGAAGCGCTGTAGCTGCTCCTCATCCATGTTCATTTCAATGGGTCTGAAATTGGACATGATAGTCAGGAAGTCCTCAAAGTTGATCTCATCCACCAGTCCCTCAGACTCTTCCCGCAGGTTCCTGTGGAGACAAAAGAACTGACTGGCAAATTTCCCACCCGTATCATCTGCTGTCCCTCACCTACAAAAGGGAGTTCTCAAAGATAGCCTCCTTTAAAAGAGGGTGGAAATCTGCTATGTTCCACATGGGGACATTCCAGCCACCCTGATGGAACTGATAGCTTCACCCGTTGACAGTCACCCCACAAATCAAATGCATCTCCATGGGCAAAACCATCCTGCTTCTGTGTTATTCATGCTCCACTTTCCCTTTAAACACAGCCACTTATCAACGGCGAGAATAGAGAAGTGGACAAGCACTGTTGACATGAAACAAGCTTCAGGAAAACCCTCTATAGGTGTAGGTGAGTCCTTCCGCTTTCCACAGGATAAGCTTCTGAGCTGCAGTGGGGTGAGGGAATGCCAGAAGCAAGCCATTGCAGTCTGTACTTTTCACTTTTTGTAGACGCAACAGGACAGAAGATTCCTTGTTCTAGGTAGTTCCAAATCACCCAGAACTGAACCACAGCCTGCTCTTACGCTTTCAGAAATAGGGCGCGGTCACTGCTGCTTAGGGTTTTTTTTTAATTTCGATTTATAGCCTGCCTTTTTCCTACAAAGGGCTCAAGGCAGCTTACATCCTTCTCCTCCTCCATCTTATCCCCACAACAACCACCCTGTGAGGTAGGTTGGGCTGAGAGTCTGGGACTGGCCCAAAGTCACCCAGTTGGCCCCATGGCCGAGCGGGGACTCGAACCCGGATCGCCTGAGTCCCAGTCCCAGCTCTTCACCACGACGCCACACTGGCTCTTGGAACATCCTCTCTACCCGTACCTGTCTGATTCATTCATGCTGCCATCCAGTCCGCATCTAAACTGCAGACCTAAGATCTGGCTCAACTTTTGGACTTTGCTTTTCAAAGGCATCTAGCCGGATGTTGAGGAGTTCCAAGGACTCAAAAGCATGCCCAATATTACATGGCCTTTTCGTTTGTCCTAGGTGTGAGACTGCATTTTGGGTTTTTTTCCCCTGGACCAGAACATTATGTTCTAGGTAGGAATCTTCAGCTTTCCAAATAGGGGGTGAAAGGAAAGGAGGAAGACAAAGTTCCTAGAGCTGAGCAACAAAACTGCAAGGATAAAAACTGCAGCTTAATGCATATTAAATGCTAAAACTCATAAAAATAGGACAAGGATTAGGCAGCACCTAAAATAACAAAAGTTGCAAGGAAAGCCCCCAAATTTTGGAGCTCTTACATAAGGCCACCAATTCAGGCTGTATAAAGGAGTGTTTCTACATTACATAAGCTCTCCTGTCTACACTATTTTTATTGCTGTTTTAATTTTGGTACTTTATATAATCTTAATATTGTAGCTGATTTACTTGTATTTTAACTTTTGTGTATTTCTATTAATGTTTTCATTGTACAAGTTTTTGTACATTGTAAGTCACCCCACTGGGAACAGGTGGAATAGAAACAAAACAATAATTGACAAACGAGTTTGTGAAAACTGCACTTGGGAAGTTTAAGCAAATGTTTCAAAATAGCTTACATACACAGAGGTTGTTTTGAAGGGCATAGCAGTGGTTAATATACCGGAGTAATCTAAGCGAATTACCTCTTGTCAAAAAAGGCCTGGACAATTTTGGACCTAATTGGATTGAACTCCAAGTCAGGGATGCGATCGAAGTTTTCCTTGCTGCAGAGACAGAAAGCATGAGAGAGAGAGAGAGATGTTTACCAAGACATGATTATGGCCCCTTCAGGCCACAGTGGCATCGCCAAAGCCCAGCTGCCCCTCTGCTTATCACATAGCGGTTATGACCTGGCACCTCCCTTCCTGTGGCTGCCCTGGTCCTCCCCCACCACCCTTGGCTAGTGCAGGAAAGGGTAGCTGGAATATCAAGGTGCTGGACCAAGGCTACACCACCTGGGATTGCTTAGAGTCGAAAGGTGAGCAAAGGGAAACACGAGAGACATGTACACAATTACGCATGGTAAGGAAAGAGGAAAGATCCCCCCCAGTTAAGCACAGGGTCTTTTGATCTTTCCTCTCATGGGAAAGAGGATGGGTGTTTCTCCCTCTCTTCTAATATGAGAACAAGACCCCATAGAAGGAAGGGCATCTTCACACGGAAGATGGTTTTCACTGCCCCAGGAGGTGGTGACGGCCACCAGACTGGATGGGCACCAGATCTTTACAAGGGGATTGGACAGTTTCATGCAGGAGGATGCGGTCAACAGCCACTAGCCTTGATGGCCATACGCCAACCTCCAGAGGGGACAATATGCCCATGTCCACCGGTCGCTGGGGACCTTGGCTGGGGGGCTGCTCTTCCATTCCTGCCTTGCTGTGGGTTTGCCGTGAACAGCTGGTGGTTCACTGTGGGGAGAGAGCGCTAGGCTGGAGAGGCCCTCAGTCTGAACCCACAGAGCTCTTACGTTCTTCTGCGCTCCGAAATGACTCTGCTTAAGCCTGGGACTACTTCCCGGAATACCTCCGTGCAACTGCTTCCCTGATCTTTCCGTCTCTCTACTGCACGCACCCTTTTCATAAGCCTTTGGCTCATCCTGCTGGTGCAGCTGGTACACCTTTTCCCTTCTTTCATCCTCAGGGACAAACTTTCAGGACTGCAGTGGGCTGGACCAGTGCCAAACGGGCTCCATTACCTGGATTCCGCAAACTAACATCTCCTCCCAACGTACACCAAAGTGTTCTTTGTGACACAAAGTATTCATTTTGTGATACAAAGCCTTCCTGTTGTGTCACGGCCCACAACTGTGTACTAATACTTCAACTGCAGGTCCTTCGTTAACCCACACGATAATGAATACTCTCACATCCACTCTTCTGTTTTCAGCCTGTTGAATTCTACATAAATTATAACTATGCTTTTCCGTGACATCTATGCAGATAAATACCATATAAAAGTCTGTGCTTTCATCCTCTTGGTGATGCATTTCCTCTTTTTAAGCAATGAGCAAGAGGCCGAGCTATCAGATGGCAAGTGGGGCTCTGTCGTCACCCCTTCATGCTTGCAAAATTCCTTGTGGTTTCACTCAAGAGACTGAAAGCATAATCTTGTGCTGTAATCTAGTCTGGATGGGGCATGCTGCAAATAGGACTTTTTCTCCTCAACCTTCATAGGACTGCTTCCTAAAATTGTGTGTTCGGGTGCACGGATTAATCCATAGAACCTCGCTCAGACTAGAGGCAAAAATAAAGACTGGAGAAGCACTTGGGTGCCCCATTCCGTGGGGGGAGGAGGGCAAGAAGCAAAAAGCATTAAGACTGGATTCCCCAAACGCCAGGATCGCTTAGCTTAAAGCCCTTTCTGCCATGTACTACCCCTTTGGAAAGGCCTTCCTACTTTGTAGACTCAGGGAAAAGCTTCAGCAAGTTGAGAATCCACCAAACAGTTGTTGGCGGGAGTGGAAGGGTGTTGTCAGCTGGGGAACCCTGCAAAGCTAGATGATGCTGATGAGGAGGAGGAGGAGGAGGAAGAGGAGCAGGAGGAGGATCATGATGTATATATTTCATTTCTATATTGTCCAGTAGCCAAAGCCCTGAGCCCCCAGTCGTGAGATCTTTACACCTGGTCCACTGGACCGGGGCTGAATTCTGCTGTCCCACTTCTCACCCTCCACGACTCATCCCGATGCCCAGAGGGTCTCTTGCAAGCAGAGGTTGGGGTGGGGGAAGTGCCCCCGTTCAGCCGCTCCAGCAGCTGCAGCCTGGTCCCCTCAGAAAGGGCATGGCCATGCAGCAGCGGCTTCCCATGTGCCGCCCTGCGGGACATCAGTCCCATGCCCTGCCGCCCCGAAGGGAAGCTCATTTCCTGTGCTGCGACTCGACTCAGTGTGAATCGCCTGCAGAAAGGTCAGGCCGGTAGTTCGGCCAGCGGGAGATGGCTGAGCGGGAGGAGGAACAAGAACCAAAGCAGGAAGAACCAAGAAGGCAACGATCACACTTTGGGAAGCTTGTGTGATTCCTTGAAGATGCTGGGGACCACGGTTAGCAGAGCCAGCCTCTTCGGAGCTCTGCCTCCTAAATCTGTCAATGCATTTTCACTGCAATCTGTGCAGCGCCTGTGAAGGTGAGAGGCTGGACTCCTCTTATCCTGAAGGGCAGATTCTTTAAAAGAGGCTCTCCAATCTTCTAAAACAGGCAGGGGGGAGGAGGGAGATCAATCGGTGGTCAGAGGATGGGGGTGGAGCCAGATGAAGGGGCAGAGTGATCTGGAAAGCCCAGATTGCTGTACTGGGCTGAATTTAGCACTAAGGCCTAGAATTTCCCACCTCTGCCAGCAAGAGAGACTGGGTTCAGACGTGTTAACCCACACTCCAGAGTTAACTGTGGGTTGGTGCTGAAACATGGGTGTTGTTTGAATCTGGGCTACTGTGTTGTCTGAACCCAGCTGAGATAATAAACATGGCGTACAACCTCTAATTCACAACCCAACAAAAATCATGGGTTTCCTTGAGGGGTTGCTCGTGGTTAAACCATGGTTGTCAGTGTGGCTGCATTCAGACATCAAGTGCAACAAAAAGTTGCCATTCTGAGAGCTCCTGCTCAGGCTTCCAGCTTTCAGGATATTATTTTTCATCTGCCCTGCCTCCACACAAAACTCATCCACACTGTACTCATGTTTTCCTTCCCACTGGCGCACGTAGGCAAAATTATACCATGGATGTATCAGTTCTTTGGGGAGAGAAATTCACACAGGTTTGAGTATTATTTCAACTTGAAACACACCACGGGCATTCTGCACCCCACCACCGCTATTCTGTGCTTTACAGCTGCTTCTGCATCCTGCTCTGCATTTTCAGCTCATTCATATCCCTGCATCAGGTCTGCAGGAATAAAATGGCGTTTTCCTCTGCTGTCCCCTGACAGTGCTGCTCTTGCTGGGGTCATTTGGGAGGTGGTGAGATCGTGGACTTCAGCCCCAGGTGGCAAGTCTGGTAGCTGCACCACTGGAACTCATGGGGCAGTTGGCAGGGCTCCCAAGGACCCTTTGGGGGTTTTCTGGACTTCTGCACACAATCTGAGCTGGCTGGTTCCTCCCACTTTTGCATGTGGTGAAGCTGGGCTCCAGAAACACCGGCAGGTTTAACGAATACGAAGGACCAAGGAGGAAAGGAATGGGAAACACCGTACCGGATGGTGGGCTGGTCGCCACTCAGCTGCTTGAATCGCCGATGCAGGTGCTCAATTTGATCTGAAGTGACTGTCAAGAGAAGACAGAGAAGCATTTTGTCAGTGGCCTGCCTGTTCTTGCTTGTATTTACCACCATTGCTCTTCTTATAGCTGATGTTATATTTCATACAACCTACAACAGTAAGAAATTCACCAAACAGCTATAAAATTGCCACACAAAAGGTCTTTTGCATTCATTACACCAGCTTGAAGGCATCTGCTGGATAGTTTATTTAGCAGCAAGAGCCATTATTCTGTTCTCCTCCAGGATGAAGAGTAAGCTATGGGTATATTCTAAGAGCAGCCATTTCCTTGTTGACAGAAAAGGAGCCAGGCTCCAGTGAATAAATATTTCCTAATTGCCTCGCTAGGGACTCTTGGTGTGGGCAGAACCCACATTCTTGCAAAACACCCATTAATGGTCCCTCCTACAGGCATTTCTCACCTCCCTGCAGTCACTATTCTGGCAGCTTAAGGAAGGCTGGTGCTCCTTAATCCACTGCAGTTTGCGTTCACGTAGTTCCAATACAAATTGGAACTACGCCAGGGTGACTTATTTTATATTGTTATTTATTTTATATTGTTATTTTTATATTTTTATTTTTGTATTTTATTTCTTGTTGTGAGCCGCCCCGAGGCTTCGGTGAATGGGGCGGCATAGAAATGTTTTAATAAATAAATAAATAAATAAATAAATAAATAAATAAATAAATAATCGGTATAGTAACTAGTGACCAGACCTGAAACAGTGTGCCCCATTCTCATTATTAAATGCGAATTAAATGCAAATATACCTTTTTTAAAAACATTGATGTGTGGCTTTTTCTTCCCTCTGGCCATCCTAGCACAAACCCCGAAGCCCTTCAAATAGAGGACTTCCCTCTGCAAAAGAGGACACTTGGCCACCCACCTCCTGCCATGAGGCAGAGTAGGCCAAGCCCCTTCACTGGTCAGTGCTGAGAGATGAGAGTGAGGGGCTGGTGAGCAGAGCAATCCATGCCCCCCACAGCCTGCCCTTCTCGCCAAGCTGGCCTGCTGCCAGCCTGCGTGAGGTCCAGCAGCCGATCCAGAGAGCTTTTACACACTGAACTGGGACATCTGCGTGTCCTTGGTGGCAAGCACCTTGCCCTGCATCTCCGACAGCAAAGTTTCCCCAGCTCAGCTCGCTTTCCCAGAGCCTCTTCAGCAAATGGGTACTGGAAAAGCCACTCCCGGCTGAAGCAGCGTCCCTAAGGATGGCTTTTTGGAGCAGTTGCCTGTTGTGTATTTTGGCTATTCCCTTGCTGGGGCCTGTTTTAAATAACAGCTTTTAAATGCACCCGTAGTTCCCACAAATAACATCACTACTTAATCATACATGATGGCAAATAAACAGTGTTTGTTTCTCGGATCGACCTGGGAAGGAGGGCTTTTGGCAATGTTTTCCTCCTTGCCTAGCATGATGGACTGGACCACAAAATAAGGAGGGGAGGGGGTCTTTGCTAGCTTTGGTTCTGATGCTCTGGACCCCCGCAGCATCACCACCATGAGACCCGTTCTGGAATCTCACTTACAGATTTTCCAAATTCCAAAACATGACCTTTAAGCAGCAGCGCTATTTTAAACACGATGCTAATTTCGCTACAGTTCTAGCCACTTTTTGTTTTCACAAAGATGGGAAAAATGATTCCCCTGCATCTTGCTCTCTCTGTCTTGGCTGTTGGCAACTGACTTTTGACATTCTCACAGCCTGAGATCACTGTTGTCATGGAAATGAAGGGACCAGTAAGCCTTTAAACAGCTGGAAGATTAGTTTTCTTTCCTTTTCCTTTAAAGAAAGAAGCAACAACAACCTTTTATAAACTTTGTGGAATTACAAACTGGAACTCCTCACCATGTCATCTCCAGGAGCTGTGCGTGTCTTGAGGAACAGACAGGGCGGTGGGAAGCTGAACTCCCGTCTTCTGAAGTTCTGCCCTGAGCAGTGTGGGTTGGACTTGATGGCTTTATAGGCCCCTTCCAACTCTACTTGTTATTTATTAGATTTATATCCCACTTTTTTCTTGTAGCAAATGCAAAACAGCTCGCATCCTCCTGCTCCTGCTCTCAGTCTTATCCCCACAACAACAACCTTGAGAAGTAGGTTGGGCGGAGGGTCTGGGACTGGCCCAAAGTCACCCAGTGGGCTCCATGACTGAGCGGGGACTAGAACCCAGATCGTCCGAGTCCCAGTCTTTTATTTAAACATCATTTTAATTGTTAAAACATATGATCTGGCCAGGGCAACTTCTTCTTCCTTCTCTTTTCTCCTCCTATATTATTTATTTACTTATTTTATACTGATAATTTTAATTTTATGTTTGTAACTCAGTGTATTTTTTGTATTTTTGTATTTAATGGTAATTTATTATGTTCTATTGTATTTCAATGTATTTTATTGTGTTGTAAGCCGCCCCGAGGCTTCGGCAAGGGGGGGCATAGAAATGTTATAATAATAATAATGATGATGATGATGACGATGATGATGTTCCACGCCATTCTATGATTCTGTGATTCTCTCCCTAGGACCATACGATGAGTACATTTACGTGCAGCTTTCCCTGAACCTCAACAGAGACCTGAAGCTGTGGCTGGACTGTGAAGTCCACTGCCCAGGTATCAACCCAGAAGGTGATAAGAGATGGAGCCGCGCCGAACAAGTCAGAATTGTAGCAACACTTTCCCAAGAGGACCCTTATTTTAAAGACAAACAAGCAAACACTTTTATAGGCAAGGGGGCTGCAGCTGGCTGTGTGCATGGTTGCGTTTTACTCATCATGCTGTTCAAACAGAGCACGGTTGCTAAATCCAACGGTGCTTTTCCAAGTAAGTGCAACGCTACGCATGTTTCAGTGGAAAGAAGGCCTAAGACTGCATGAATAAAAACTCTCTCTCGTTGCCGCTGTAATGCCAAGAATGCACAGGGTGCAAAGCTAAACGTCTGTAAAAGAGATGGTTTTACTCTTGCAGTCCCTATGGAGATATTACTAAAGTTCACATTAGGAAATGACACATCTGAGGATCGGCAAACGGAGGGTGGGAAAGGGAGAGGAGCAGTGAATTGTGTGCTGCACCACTGAAGCCGTCAGAAGGATGCCTGGAAGGGGGCACTTCCGGAAACCTTTCGCTCCATGCTCTAGAATGACCTGGCTGCACGGAGAGAGCCGCGAGAAGCTTCCTTCTGCTCAGCCGGTAGAACAAACCAACAAGCACCTCCACGAGGGCAGGGAGCACAGCATCCTGCTCCATGCTGGGCCCTCCTCATCGCTAGGGCAGGACCTCCACAAGAAACCCAGGAGGGGGCCATAATAGTTCGCGTGTGGAGCAGGAATAGCAGGATTCCGGTCCCCAGTCAGCCACACAGCTGGCTTCGCTGGGCCACGTTGCTCCTTTTACCTTAACTGCGGTTGCCGCAAAGAAAAACAAAGGCGGGTGTACAGGGCAAGGGGGGGCACTTGGGGCTGTCCAGATGCTTGTCCTACAACACCCATCCTCCTGCTGGCTGGCTGGCTGAGGCTGATGGGAGCTGCAGGCCAAGACCTCTGGTGGGCCACAAGCTACTCACACCCGTGAGAGGCGGGGCTGGCGTCCAAGGCTGGGGGGCTGCCGAGGCCCCACTTCCCAGCAAGTCCCCCAGGGTGTGGGCCGCTCTTCTGCTCTGCAGCCTGCCTGCTCCCCGCTTCTCGCCCTGGCTCAGGCAACAGTGCGAGGCAGAAGCAACCAGAGACGCTGCTCATCATGCCTCCTTGCCCCCTGGTCCCCCCCCTCGCCCCACCAGGAAGCGAGAGGTGGCAATGGCGAGGACGGCGAGGAGTGCGGGCCACCGGCAGGCACGGCAGACGTGGAAGGAATTCGGTCCCTGGAGGCTCGCTTCCTTGCAGGCATCAAAACCCTGCAGCCGGCACCGAATAGGGGAGCAGCGGCCCAAGCGGGGTGGGCTCCAACCACCCTAAACGGCGTCGGGTTGTCTTCTGTGCCCGCTGCAAGAAATAGCACTGCCACACCGGAGACAGCAGTGGGGGCGGGGGGGGGGGGCGTTCGCCACCAGGCAGGACACAGCAGGGTGTGCTTCCTTGCCTACGCTTTCCTTCCTGTGCCTGCGCAGCTTCCCATCCGGCTTGGTCTCGCTGAGCACCATCTGCTCAGCACAAGCGGCACGCTCGTTCGGAGACGGGTTGCTGCACAGCACCGGGAGCAGCTCCTTCGGCCTGGCGCCCAACGCTGCGATGGGGAGGTGCTTGGGGGTTGGCCTTGCGTGCTGGGCAGGGCCAGGAGGACAGGGAGCCACGCCAGCCTTTTGGGACCCGAGAGCTCAACAAGTGACCAATCACGGTGGTCGGGGAAAGGAGTGTGGCTAGCAAAGAAGGGGGCGGGGTGTCTGGGGAGCCCCAGAGGGCCAAGCTGGCACCCTGGACCCAGGGTTCCGAATGAGCAACGCCCTGGCACTGAAACAGGAGCTTGCAAGGAAGCAAGGTGGCTGGTTCGTGCACTGAAGGCATCCAGTTCCACAGAGAGCTCAGTGTCTTATTCACCAGTGTCGAGAAAGCTACAAGGAAATACAGCTTATGCTACAGAATTTGTTGTTGGTTGTTTAATAACAAGAACCTAAGGGGGTGTGATATCTTTTCCAAATTTTTAAAAAAAGTTTCTAGTCCTCATGGTAGTACAAAAACCAACTGAGGGGTGGGAGGGTGAACTGACATCGATGCTTGCCATGGGGGAGGTAAGGCGAACCCCCACAATACCAAGCCTCTGTTAACCAAATAAAAAAGGACCACCAACATTGACTCTCCTCCATTTCTGCTTCTGCAGGACCTAGGATGAGATAACGTTTGATTTTTCTACCAAGGATCTTTTCTAGGGGAGTCTTCCTGGATGCTGACCTTTCAGGATACATCCTAAATGTTGCCTATAAATCCAATCGATGCCTATAAACACAACCCAGCAATTACCTAGCTAGCAATTAGGCAATGCAATTCGTTTGACTCAGGTGGGACAACTTGCTGATTAAG